CTGCAACCGTGTCTCCGATACCAATACTGAAACCGTAGTGCAACAGCCAGTAGTTGACGACCGTTTGGCATCCATTGAAGAACGTCTTTGCCACTTCGGGGCCGTGTTGGTTCATAATGACGTGGATCAAGCCGCCTCCAGATGTTCCCACCGTTTTCTTGCACACAATACCGCAGATCAGCTCGCCGTTCTCCACAATGACCTTGGTGTCTCCAGGCGAGATGTCACTCACTTCGTTGTCCGGATGTGTCGAATGAAATGTGATACAGTTGATGCCCTTGGGAATAATCATGCTCACCATCTGCTTTCCGGTCCATAGCGGCTTGGGCTTTAAAATCGCGGGTGTTGGCAGAAATCCTTCCCAGCCAGGAACCCACATCACCAGGTTCATCACCGTCTCCTTGGTCAAGAAACAATCGCGCTTCGTAAACTTGCGGACTCCACACAACGTATCCTGCACAATACCCATAACTGGCTTGTTTGACTGGGGTGACACAATCTGCTTGGGGACCATGCAAATCTCCGTGATCTCGGCGCGGGTCTCCACTGACTGTGGGACGTGCAGGTTCATTTCGTCTCCGTCAAAATCGGCGTTATATGGCGATGTGACAGACAGATTCAGTCGGAAGGTCGAGTACGGCATCACGCGAATTTTATGTCCCATCATCGACATCTTGTGCAGCGACGGCTGACGGTTGAAAATGACCACATCACCATCGTTAATGTGGCGCTCTACCTTCCATCCAAGCTGCAAGGGTACCTCGCGCTTGTTCCACCGCAGATCAATACGCTGTCCATCGTCACGGATCACATAAACTGCTCCAGGATGCTCCGTAGGTCCATTCCTGACCAGCTCTTGCAATTTGTCGATGTTGTAAGGTGTGACCAATTCTGGGTACGTGAGAGTGCGCGCAATACTGCGAGGAACTCCGACTTCATCGATCGACAGATTAGGGTCTCCTGTAATGACAGTACGAGCCGAAAAATCCACACGCTTTCCCATCAAGTTTCCACGAAGACGACCTTCCTTTCCCTTCAGACGAGCACGGATCGATTTGAGCTGCAAAGAGAGGAATACAAAAGCGAAAGATGTCAGTATACCAAGAATTTGATCCGCACAGCTTCCACAGTTCTTGCAAGCGCACTTTGCACCCACTTCTTTGCTAACAAAAAGCATTTGAACTTACAGGTCTTCCGTTCTTGTGTGCTGCTGGTGGCTGACCAGCAATGTCGTTGTCCATGTATGTGGCAACATGGTACTGAAGCAGTTGTTCATGTTGCTGAAGCAAATGCGCCGGTGTTCCGTCCTGTGCACACTTGTACACGTCCGCATTAGTCTTGATGATCGCAAACAGCTTATGCGTCAAGTCATCCTCTCCTGTGCTCGATCCGTCCATTTGAATACTAGGGCGTACAGCGAGAGGAGGGATCGGCAGCACTGTCATGATCATCCACTCAGGGCGCGCAAACTCTGGCGACAATCCCATTGCCTCAACGTCCTCGTCCGAGATACGCTTTAAAATGTGATATGCGTCGCTAGGTGAAAGCGTTCTCTTTCCTTCGGGTTGAGAGTCCTGTGAATCGCAAAATAAAATAGCCAAGTTAGTTACTGTCACTAAACGTACATCGTCGTTGAATGGAACATCATAAAGGCAACATACATCGTTGGCATTCGCCTTAAAGTTGACGCTCAGTCCGAGTCCTTCCTTGCGAAAGATTGGTTGGCGGTGTCCACATCCCCCGTGCGACTTCTTCTTTGGCTGTGGGTTTCCATGTTCGTCCACCTCCATCTCGTCGCCCATCTCTCCGTCAATGTCGTCACCTCCCTCGCACACCATCTTTGATTTTGCGAGCTCCCACACCGCCTTCAGACGGACCTTGGGGTCTCTAATACGGCGGGCTCGCACAAACTTGCTGTTATTCTATTGAATGAAGTATAAGATGGTACATGGAGCTCATTAGTGGCCAATTTTCTTTGCGGACAAAATATAACAGAGGCCCTACACCTTCAATGCTGCCCAGATTTCTTACATCGTCAACCTTGAGCTTTGAGCACGAGTAACAGACGCACTCAAGGATCTTTTTGACCTTGGTAAGGAAACCTAATGTTCGTTAGTTGATTCGAACAAAATGTCGCTGGTTAGCCTGGATGTATTTCCTCCAAAGACTACACAATCATGTATTTCTGAGCCACGAGCACTACAAACGCAAGCGTAAAATGTACCATTCAAATAAACAGGTTTGGCAAGTTCAATGTGCCCAAAATGTCCAGGGCACTCGGCCATGCCCTCAGAGCAGGTCTGACACTTGAAGTTGCGGTTGATAGTTCCCATCCTCGGATCATGCAAGCCGCCCATCTTGGGTCTCTTCGTGCCTTCGTCGATCAGCTCTGGGTGCTCGATCTTGGCCACCGACATGTTTTTCTATGGTACATAGCCATATAAGAATAAAAAGAGAACGGTAGGTGTATGCCCGACTCGTCTCCCAGCATGCTTCAAATGAACACTGTTTATTCACAAGACAGCAACGTACAATTTCCTCTGGAGAGAGAATACCAAACTGGACACAGTCCACGCGCCGCAGCGGCGCAGACGAGTACGCAAACCGGGTGCTACTCATCGTGGTCCTCTAGCGAGCGTTGGGTAAGTGAAGAGGGCAGATATGGAACAGGAAACCCCTAGTAGGGATGTGTCAACGTGAACTAGTTCGATCGAGAGGATTGATCCTGGTGTGCTGATGATTGTACTCGGTGTCAAGGATGAAGAGGGGGGCAAGAGGGAAGGAATGGATGAATTGTACGATCACTGCAAGAAATGGAGTCGTACAGAGTGTGTTCTGGCGAGGTGGATATGGGCGCCAGGCACAGCAACAGTAGCAGAAAGGGTCTGATAAGAAAGATCTCGTCTACATCCTGATCAGCTCATCTCGTTTTATTAGGAACGTGCGACATCCGCGCAACGGACTACGATGACGCCACCGAAAAGGTGAAATCATCGGCCTGCGCAGCTATCTAAATCCACCCGAAGGTAGGCAAGGGTGCTTGCGAGCACCTCGAAGTGAAAAAAAAGCTAGTCTAGCTATCGACCTGCCAATTGCTTGGCCGCTGCCGCCTTGTTCTTGGTGGTCGCTGCCTTTTGCTTGGCCATGGTTGTTTTGGTGCGCTTGCCACCGGTCTCCTTGGCATCGCCATCCCCCTCTGCCTGGCGCTTGCAACCAGCACGACCTGCACGACTAGCACGACAACCATTGCTGCTTGCTTGCTGCAACGAATCTGGGGCGTCCTTGAGTAGCTCCAGCCAGGGGTAGTGGCCGTCCTTGTCGACCGGATGCAGATAGAGTGGTCGCTGCTGCTGCTCGACATGGCCGCGCAGAATGTTGATGATATTGTGTCCTGCCATCACGTCGCAGTGCATATACTTTTTGCAATAGGAGCAGTGGAGGCGGCGAATGCTCTCGGTCTGGCCGACAAACTGCTCGCACTTTGGGCACTTCTTTGAGGTGTAATACTCGTGCACGCCAACAACGAGATATCCGAGCGACCGCGCCTACGCGATGGAATAACAGAGAGCGCGAGGGATATGTCAGTTAGCAACAGCAGCTAGATTGGAGCACTGCAAACAACCCACAATAAACAGACGAATAGTTACCTTCTGGATGAAGTAAGCCTCGAACGTCCCATGCAAGGATGATAATCCCGAACTGGAGGTGAATCGCCCCATGCCGATCCCAATCACAACCTTGTCCTCCTCCTTCTTCTTCTCGCCAATGGAGCCGCCGATCATCCGCAGGAGCAAGTCCGCCAGGCGTTCGAACTCGCGCTGCCTAGCCTGCTGCGACATCCGCTTGAACTTCTTGAACCTGAATCGGCGGCCGTTGTAAAACTTGTCCAGATGGACCTTGTGCATTTTGCGTCCCTGCACGTGAGCAGCGAAGTCGGCGGCGGAACCGCGGAGGGGTGGGAGTGACGACTCGATCGTGCAGATAGAGAGAGACTCGGTTGTTGCTGCCTCCGTGCTGCTGGTTGAGGGCTGGTTGACCGTTGATGGTGCTATTGACTCGGTGTTGGTGGTCGACGGGCTGGAGTGTATCTTCAAGTCGGCGCCCTTCTGCCGATTCATCCAAGTCCTGTGGCTGTGAGTGGGTTGCGCAACTGCTTTTGCTTGGCAGCTAAGTTAATGTGCCGCTCGCCTCGGGTTCGACAGACGCTCTTCTTCCTGCCCTTGCCGCTACCTCTTTTGCGACGACCCCGGCTGCCGTGCTTCTTCTGTCGCCGGTGGCGGCGTCGCTTGCCAATCTTGGGGCTCTTGTCCTTTGGCATATGGCCGTACGCTCCGACAACGAACGCTTGGCCTAGGTCGAGACCCAAGTATGACACCTTGTCAGTGTCGTCAGGGGTGCAGCCAAGGAGGCGCTCGACATCGGCCGCGGACTTGAAGACATTGCGCACCTCGGTCAGATAGTCATTCGTGCCGGCGGTGGTGGTGAGCAGACGATCTGGCAAAACATCGGTCTTGTATCGCTTGAACTTGACTGAGTTCAGCTCGCGGACCTTGTATGCGAGAAGCTGCAAGCTATAGCCATCCGTCTTGATCGAGCCGCGCAAGAAATAGCCCTTTTCCTGGTAATTTCGGGGATCGAAACCGTCACGGCGAAGGGTGTTAATATGCGCACGGATATCTTCGGGCTCAACAAGTTTAATGGCGGCCGCGATACCGGCATCCTTCTTCCGCCGCCCATGCAGACGGTCGCCATCAAGGGTCCTGGGGTCGACAGGAGCAATGAGCTGCTGGATCAGCAGGCCTGGTGTCTGAAGAGGGAGCCAGTCTTGTGTCAGTTCCGTCTGGGCGAGCCGCCGCTGTTGGTCCATGCAGCCAATGAGCTTCTTGAGGACAGGATGCAGTTCGTCGCGCTTGTGCAGAAAGGCGGCCAGCTCGATCTCAGTGAAAGTCATAAATCCATGCTCCTCAGATGACAGGGGTGAAAGTCGCCAAGGCCTACCAGCCACAGTATTCGCTCGGACAAAAAGCTGAATCGCTGGCTCCTTGGATGTTACGTCCACAACTTGACTGCTCACCAACAGACCCTTCTTGACCAATGTTTGGACCTATGGCAACCCATAGCAAATGAGCTATCGAGTTAGAATTTGTTGTCCACACAGATGACAATAACAAAAATGGTAGATTGATGCGATACCTGTTCCGACAGCTTTTTGGTGCCGTGTCTGTAGTGCCGCCGCAGTTCAGCCGCCAGCTGCGATGCAACCGATCGAACCACAAAACATGGCGTGTAGTCCTTGACATTCCTGAGCATGTCGGCTTTGGCCAATTGCAACTTTTCCAGGTGCTCCATCTCTTGAAGACAACTAATGAAGGTGTTGACAGCTGACCCAACCTTGCCATTGCCAGGCAGGTTGCCTGAGTAGAGGAAGTTGAGGAAACTTTGAACAAAGGGAGTGTTCGATCCATCATCTTGGCCATCCTCCACAGTGCTGCCATCGTCACTGTCGTCTCTCATCTCCTTGGACATGAGGCGAGGGCACAAGCTGTCGAGGACTGCCTGGTCTTTGTCGCTGACAGTGGCCACGGGCGCCGCAGGTCGAGGGGCGCCAGGCAGAGGCCGAGGATAGAAAAGGTCTTCCAGATAGAGACCAATCAGCATATGGCAGTGTGTTTTAGTGTCCCACGCCACCTGGACAGCACCACGGATGCATTCAACAATGGCCTTGCTGACTAGGTCATCACCAACGGCAGCACAGACATTGGTGGATAGGCAATCAAAGTCCAGAGTGACTGTTGGATGCTCGAACGATAAGGCATCCATCATCTGCTTGCGCTCAAAGCGGTCGGCCTCGCGGACCTCGGACTTGATGGCCACGGGCTTTTTCTTGATGGGTACTGGAAGACTCGGCTTCTCAGGTGGCTCCTTCCATGGCTTGAGTGTGTACTGCATCATCACTGATGGTGCTGGTTGCTCTGTGCGAGGCTCGTACCGGATTTTGGGGGTGTAGCGAGGTCGATATTGGTGGCTGATGGTGGGATCGGGTTTGTCGATGGTGGCGAAGGGGTTCATAGGTTTGGCCTTAGCACATGGATCCGATTCAGCATCATGAGCAGCCCTATTGGCAACAAGCGAATAACGAGTGTTAACATTCGGGAAGGTGAGCATGGTCGCTAAAAGAAATTCATTCACCCTCTTCTCTCAATGGCAAAGGTGGCCCGTGAAAAGAGAGGAGGATGTTTCGTACCTCTTTGCAACTCGGACTTCATATGCTTCTGCCTTGAAGGCATTGAAGGCATGTATGAAACGCTCCATCCGCTCACGCAGGGCTGGATAGGACAAAGTGGCGCCTTCCGACGTGTCCTTGGCAAAGTCGTCTATGGTGGCAGGATCCTGTTCCAAGTCGACAAAAGCCTTGATGGCATTGGCATAGGATTCTTCTGTCCACGCGCCCTCCTTGTCCGTGCGTCGCTTGATATCAGGGTAGGTGAGATATTACCGGATGATGCTTCTCTCATCTAAAGAGAGGAGAGATGGAGAGAGAAGAAAGCAAACATTTCAGTGATCTGAACACAAAAATCACAACTGAAGGCAAAAAAGAGATGTCAGATTTATTAATGCTCTTACCTCCATTCAAAGTCTTGACAATCTTGCTGTTAGTGCTGATGGCGAGGTGGGGTATATTGGCGGCATAGTCGTTACCACTGATGATGGCGAGAGCAGTCAGCTGCATTGACGACAGACCGAGGGCCTCGAGAATGACATTCTTCTCAAACGGCACAAACCGTCGCGACTTGTACGAGCCCACAGGACGCCAAACGACAGGCACAGTCTTGTAGAATAAGAGATCACTGTCACTTGAGATGACTGCGTCATGGGGCTGGCACTCTGCAGCAATGAGAACATCAGACTCGGTCGGGCAGAGCACAATTTCATAGTTCCTGTTGGTCATATACTCAACAAATGACTTGCGGCTCTCGAGCGACCAATGGAAAGCCTGCCGCAGGTGTTTGTTGGCATTGCTGACGTGGTGTTTGCGGACGCGCTTCCTTTCGGCAAGGCGCGCTTCGAGGTTGGGGATAGCAGCAGCAGCCTTGATCAGGGCCTTCTGGCGAACTTGGTGGCGTAGAGACGCATCTTGTCCTTGTCGCCTATCTTGAGCAGCCACTGCTCTAGCTTGCTATGTGCCGCATACAGGTCCGTGGGGTTGCTGTAATAATATCGAATGGGAGTGTTGTGGGTCGAACAGACGTCAACGTGGATCTTGGAGATGGTCGAGGCGAGCGAGACTTTGCCTTGGGAATCGGGGACAAGCCCTTTCTTACGCAGTAGCGGCCATGCGTACTTGACGCCCATGGTGGTTAAGGTGGCATAAGGGGTGAGGAACAAAGAAATGAGGAATGGACGCGTTTTTTGGAATGCACGCGTTTTAAAATGAGGCATACGTGACCGTATTTTCAAGCTCTGCGCTCTATTTCCACCACAGAGTGCGCATGCTTCCATGGGGCATCGGCTCTATTTAATGTCTCTTCTCATGCTGAAGGACGTGCTGATCGTCAACCGCAAATACGGCGCACCAAACCTCAATAATTCTCAACCAACGACCCCGATACCAAGGAATTCACTTTTACATGCGACGAGTTTCGCACATGGTGGACGGGAGAGCGGCAAACTGGCTTGCGGGTGCATAGGCCTAATCAGTACTCCACCTTTTACAATCAGAAAGACGATCCGGACACCCCACTTCCATTGAAAACATGGGAGCAAGTCGCAGGCACAAGGACCATGTACTCCTGGAGACTCGCGTTTGCCTGTCGTCGCCACCGCAAAGAAAAAGTTGTTTCTCTCCCGCGCGAGCCAGTGGGTCAATGCTGCAAGGCACAGATCTTCATGGCACAGCCCGTTGGGGAGGAGGACAAAGTGGTGGTCAGGTACACGTGGAAACACAATCATGATGACAGTAGCGCACGGCTGCCTCTTGCTCGGAATGAGCGCGAGTGGATTCGTCGTATGGTGGATGAGAGTCATGATTGGTGTTCTCTGTCGAGCTGGGTCATACCCGATGAACAGAGCCTGCAAGCGGTAAGAGTGTTGTCTTATATCATGTTTCCAGACACGCATTGGTTCAAGGAGATTGAGGATAAGGGTGGCAAGACCATGTTCATTGAAGATGCAACACTGACTGGATTCGCATATGGGTGGTGTACAAAATTTCAGCTGAAGGTAAATGTTGTACAGTCAATTCTTTTTTATCCGGACAAAAGGATAGGAAATCTGTCCGGATAACAATTTCGAAGAAATGAATTAAAATGTTATTCAGTCAGATCAATTATTCGGTCACATGAGGTATTTTCAACCCACATAAAAGGAAGGGCAAAAGGGCCGGACAAAAGGACAGATGGGATAGATGGACAAATGGACAATGGACAGACAATCATTCTGATCAACAACACCAACACAGCACCAACATGCCGCCGAAACGCCCTCTCGCCTCAGACAGCAAAGTATTCAAAAAGAAAAAGGATAAACCTACCTCAACAAGTGGACCCTATACACCCTTACAACTCCCCCTCAAGGACGACATGAAAGTCAATTACACCAAAGCCCAACTCGAATCCTTTTACGACTTGCGCGTCCGGAGGTACGAAGATCTCCTACATTGTGCCAGGACCAACGCCCCACATTGCCTGCTCCTGATGCCTGACCCCGGTGTCTATGCCATCTCAATGGCCAGGACATGCTACACTCTTCGTGTCAAGCTCGAACTCGTGGATATCTTCCACTACCTTCAGAAACACCTCACAAAGCCTTTGGTCAAGGACAAAACCCGAATGAAGTCCACAATTACCTATAGGAACTTTGGACTCAACATGGGCATTGATATTGCTCATTCCACGATGTATGACTATATCAGGAACGAGAAAACTATTCGAAAACAGGCGGACCAGCTACCCCTCGATGCCAAGTACATGATCAACCGGAAGAACAGAATGGTAGAGGAGGTTCTGTTTTTATGGCTGCAGGATCAACGGTCAAGGCAAATTCCTATTAATGGAAAGATGGTCATGGAGGAGGCCGCCCAAGTGACATATACCGTTCTTGTCGACGAATACGAGAAGAGCGATACAAGAGACGCTGTCGTTCCCTCCTTCTCCGCCTCGTGGTTTAATGCCTTCAAAAAACGATACCAGATTTCGTACAGTCAGCTGTACGGGGAAGCAGGAGGAGTTGACTTGGTTGCCATCGAACCTGAACTTCGCGACATCCGTGCGGTTTGCGTCAACTACTCACCGGACGATATTTTTAACTGCGACGAGACCGGAGTCTACCTCAAGGAACTTGTCACAAAGTCATACACTATCCCCGAGAAGACAAGCGGATCCAAGCCCAACAGGAGCGCCCGAGTGTCGATTCTTTTTTGTGTCAACGCATCAGGCTCGTCCTTGGTTTTGTCAGAAGACCCGAAAATGTCTGCGTTGAGGCCTTTGCTTATTGGTAAATATACACTCTTGCCATACTACGCTCTTTTTTTCCTAGGTGTTATTTTTGTGGATTGTCTATGTCCACGTTATAACTTAACTATTTTTTTTTTGTTGGTACATTAGCCAAGAGCATGGCTCGAGAGGTGGATGAAGAGGCCAAGGGCAGGATGGAGATACGGAGGAACGGGTCAGGATGGATGAATAGCAACATTTTTATGTCTTGGTTGATCGATCTCGATAAACAGCTCCAGCGACCCACCCTCTTACTCATGGATTCTTGTCCTGCGCATAATAAGGTCGAGAAACCCGATCCTGACTTCAACTATCGCGACAACTGGAAGTTCCTCACAATCCAACGTTTGCCTAAGAATTCAACCTCTATCACGCAACCACTCGACGCCGGCATCATCAGCGTCTTCAAACGAGCGTTATTGGATCTTCTCAGTCGAGAAACAAGCCTTGTCAAGACCTACGACAAAAGCAAGGCAATCAGCAACGGACACGCATGGTCACTTGTTCCGTTCGCATGGAACAAAGTCAAGGCATCAACAGTTCGCAATTGCTTTGCGAAAACTCCTGTTCTCCCGGATGACATGCGCCAGCAACTACGACAGCGACCAACAGCACCCCAGGAACAGCGGGAGAAGATTCAATACTTGCGGCGCAACGATTACAGGGAAGAAGCGCAAGCCTACTTTGAGCACCTAATTGTCGAGGTGAACGAAGCCAATGACTGGAAATGGACCTTCAAACCACAGGGAACAAAGGACGTACAGGATCTTGCCGACGAATCATTAGCTGCCGAACCTGCAGTGAAGGAGGTTGCTATCGAGTTGAACCTGTTACCTGTCTCGAGCCCGTCTTGTCCACGACCATACGATACCGACGAGCGAGCAAGTTCTCCTCTGGCCGAGGACGTCTATGCGAGAGGCATGCAGGTCCTAAAAGAAAGGGCACCAGCACTCGGACTGATGAGCGTTGACGAGTTCAAGGCGACAAGGAGGGTATTGAGCGGTGGATCGGCGGAGGAGGTCAAGCTCAGCAAGGTGTTAAAGGATGTTTTGCGCTCCTATGACAAAGCTGACCATCTGGGAGGACCTGTGGAACAGTTGGAGGTTCAACCAGTCATCCAACCATTGCTTTCAACATTGATGGACAGTGAAACCCTTAATCTCTGCCCCACCAACTCGAGCAAAACCCAATACAGCCTTGACGACGGCAGCAACAACGGGGGATACGTGATGGATGGAAATCAATGTGGTCAAGGAGAGAACGAAGGCAGTGAGGAAAGTGACGAGGAGGTTGACGAGGAGAAGCAGTGGGTGGAGAAAGAATTGTTTGAGAGACAGCGTCAAGGGTATGGAGATGAGGAGGAGGAGGAGGAAGACGAGGAGTTGCTGCTGCATCGTGATCGAGGAGCGGCTATTGCACCCTTTGCTGTAGAGGAAGAACCCACTGCTGACTACAGCAATTACAGCGGCCATGCCGGCGATGAGAGCAACAGTGACAGTGACCACGACAAGAGCAACAACACAATATCAATAACAACAACAGCAGCAACAGTAGCAAATAACATACCCATCAACGAATATCATTCTTTTTCTTAACCACCTTTTGTCCGGCCCTTTTGCCCTTCCTTTTATGTGGGTTGAAAATACCTCATGTGATCGAATAATTGATCTGACTGAATAACATTTTAATTCATTTCTTCGAAATTGTTATCCGGACAGATTTCCTATCCTTTTGTCCGGATAAAAAAGAATTGACTGTACATACTGCCAATATACACGCTGGTTCCCTCTCAATCATGCAAGATTAGTTAGCATGGCCTTTCCTCCATTGTTCCAGGTCATGTCCAAGAACACCAATATCTTTTGCATGGACTCGACTCACAAGACAGCAAAGGACATCACACCGATCAAAGAGGGCAGCAAGGTCCACAACTCAGTGTACCTGTTCACGCTACTCGTCAAGGACAAGGACGTCCATCAAGGAATCCCTGTCGCCTTCATGGCGTGCGAGTCCGAATCCCGGTATGTGCCTTTTTTTTTTTGGGCTTGGATTGTTTTTGGGTCGTGCCCCGCTCGGCACGTCGTTCTTTCATGCGCTGACTGAACATATTTTTACTTTTGCACATGTGCATCCATTAGATACCCTATCATTCGGTGGTTGGACTGACCAAAGAACGAATGTGGTTTGAAAACGGATGCATTCATGGTGGACTGTGCCGAGGCTGAGTCCTATGCCATTGGGACTGTTTTTCCTGAAGCAAGGATCCACTTTTGCGATTTTCATGTCGGTCAGCTGTTGGTCAAGTTCTCGGTCTTCCCTCTTATGGCCTGATGCCATGCGGCATGCTTGGACAATATTCTGGATGACCTAACATAGTACCCGTGTTGCATTCATTCACACAGGAGGAACGGAGGAAGCAGATGCGACCCCTTTTGAACGAGGTTCGCAGAGCCAGATCACCCGAGTTGCAGCAGACACTCTGGACCAGGCTCAAAGAGCTTTATTCGGGCGCATTGTCAGTGATCAATTATATTCAGAAGAACTGGTTCAACTAGGATGGAAGGCTGGAGAAATGGGCGCTTTTTCACAGAGAGGCAAAGTACACCCCAATTCCTTTCCATGTCGATCATCACGACTACCACCAGTTGAGTCATACACCTGTTTTATTTATTTCTTCTTATTTTTCATTAGGATGGGCAAGTTGTCACGACCAACAATTGGATAGAGTCGTGGCATGCTCGTTTGAAGGGCGATCATCTTGGTCGCGATCGGAATCTCCGTGTCGATCGGCTTGTTTATTTGCTGCAGGATCGAGTAGATAGAGGGTTTCGATTCGCATATCTCAAGACCAAGAGAGGCTTCCAACCCATACCCTGGAGAAAGGGGGACGTGGAGAGGAAACAGAAAGCAGACAAGGTTTCGTTCGACGAGGCACAACGCAAGATTGATTACAACAGAGACCAGCCCTGCGATGATGGACGCTTACGGGTATGGCTTCACCAACCATTGTGCGTTCGAGCACCGTTCCAAGTTCGCCTGCCTTAGCCAAATGTTACTTACAGTGGGGTATACTTGGGTATACTTTAACTTCCCCTTCTTGTGTAGATCTCCATTCAGTCATTTGACCCCGACACTCCAGACACGTATTATATCCTTGTTGTCATCGCCAGATCTGGGCAACTCCTCTCATGTTCGCGCCTCGACTTCATCAAGCGTGAACCCCTTCCGTGCAAGCACATTTTTCTTGCTGAGCGTGTGTTTCATGACCTTTGGCTCAGTCGCTTTCTTCGCCCGTCTGTATCGGCCGATATCATCGAGGACCGGACAGTCGACTTCAACGATGGTCCCAACGATAACATCAACAATGATAACATGCGCAACAATAATGACACGGGCATCTTCGAGCAAGACCCACTCAGAGACCAACTAGCAGTGCTTAACCCAAAAGTTTACACCCAACTCGAATACGAGAGGGCCAGGAGGGAGGAGGAAGAAAGGCACCGGCGGAAGGAGCAGAGGAAGAGAGACTTTGAGAATGCAGAGCAAGAGCTCTGTAACAATGGGCGCATGATTGTCGAGCTGATGAATAAAAAGTCCAAGACAGGCAGCTTGGAGGACCTGCAGGCTGCAGTGGCCTCCTCCAAGGTTTTGGTGCATCAACTTAGAGTCCTGCTCAATAAATGATGCCTTATTTCCCTTCATCCTTTTTTAGCTAATCGTAGTCCGATTTACGCGATCCGGGACGTGCATGTGACAAGTTGTATTGGATGCGATCGCATCTCCTATGGAGGGGAAACTGTGACGTAGTCAGTATTCGCTCCGAAAAGTATATAAAGCGGGCATCATCCAGCATCATCTTTCATCTCATTGTCTTTCTGTTGTTGTCTTCCTTTTCTTTTTACGACTCTTTCTCTTAGTGTGGACACTGAGTGCACGCTGACACCGCCTGTTGCATCTCATCTCTGGAGAAGACACTGAGAAGAAAAGGGACAGATTCCAAAGAAGCAATAAAGGTGAAGATAAAAACATACCCAAGGAGAGTTGATTTACACCGTCGGAAGTAGGGCAACCAGACAGGAAGCTAACACTCCTTTATCCAAACTGGTTTTCATCGTTTCCTTGGCTATAATTTCTTGATCAGCAGCATATCCTCCATACCCACTCGATCCAGCATCAATTTCCATCTACCGTAGGAGAATACTGCAGAGGGTCTGTCTTGCGCAGCACTTAACCGTAATAGCAGCGGATCTATTCAAGGACCACGATGAGTAGCACCCGGTTTGCGTACTCGTCTGCGCCGCTGCGGCGCGTGGACTGTGTCCAGTTTGGTATTCTCTCTCCAGAGGAAATTGTACGTTGCTGTCTTGTGAATAAACAGTGTTCATTTGAAGCATGCTGGGAGACGAGTCGGGCATACACCTACCGTTCTCTTTTTATTCTTATATGGCTATGTACCATAGAAAAACATGTCGGTGGCCAAGATCGAGCACCCAGAGCTGATCGACGAAGGCACGAAGAGACCCAAGATGGGCGGCTTGCATGATCCGAGGATGGGAACTATCAACCGCAACTTCAAGTGTCAGACCTGCTCTGAGGGCATGGCCGAGTGCCCTGGACATTTTGGGCACATTGAACTTGCCAAACCTGTTTATTTGAATGGTACATTTTACGCTTGCGTTTGTAGTGCTCGTGGCTCAGAAATACATGATTGTGTAGTCTTTGGAGGAAATACATCCAGGCTAACCAGCGACATTTTGTTCGAATCAACTAACGAACATTAGGTTTCCTTACCAAGGTCAAAAAGATCCTTGAGTGCGTCTGTTACTCGTGCTCAAAGCTCAAGGTTGACGATGTAAGAAATCTGGGCAGCATTGAAGGTGTAGGGCCTCTGTTATATTTTGTCCGCAAAGAAAATTGGCCACTAATGAGCTCCATGTACCATCTTATACTTCATTCAATAGAATAACAGCAAGTTTGTGCGAGCCCGCCGTATTAGAGACCCCAAGGTCCGTCTGAAGGCGGTGTGGGAGCTCGCAAAATCAAAGATGGTGTGCGAGGGAGGTGACGACATTGACGGAGAGATGGGCGACGAGATGGAGGTGGACGAACATGGAAACCCACAGCCAAAGAAGAAGTCGCACGGGGGATGTGGACACCGCCAACCAATCTTTCGCAAGGAAGGACTCGGACTGAGCGTCAACTTTAAGGCGAATGCCAACGATGTATGTTGCCTTTATGATGTTCCATTCAACGACGATGTACGTTTAGTGACAGTAACTAACTTGGCTATTTTATTTTGCGATTCACAGGACTCTCAACCCGAAGGAAAGAGAACGCTTTCACCTAGCGACGCATATCACATTTTAAAGCGTATCTCGGACGAGGACGTTGAGGCAATGGGATTGTCGCCAGAGTTTGCGCGCCCTGAGTGGATGATCATGACAGTGCTGCCGATCCCTCCTCTCGCTGTACGCCCTAGTATTCAAATGGACGGATCGAGCACAGGAGAGGATGACTTGACGCATAAGCTGTTTGCGATCATCAAGACTAATGCGGACGTGTACAAGTGTGCACAGGACGGAACACCGGCGCATTTGCTTCAGCAACATGAACAACTGCTTCAGTACCATGTTGCCACATACATGGACAACGACATTGCTGGTCAGCCACCAGCAGCACACAAGAACGGAAGACCTGTAAGTTCAAATGCTTTTTGTTAGCAAAGAAGTGGGTGCAAAGTGCGCTTGCAAGAACTGTGGAAGCTGTGCGGATCAAATTCTTGGTATACTGACATCTTTCGCTTTTGTATTCCTCTCTTTGCAGCTCAAATCGATCCGTGCTCGTCTGAAGGGAAAGGAAGGTCGTCTTCGTGGAAACTTGATGGGAAAGCGTGTGGATTTTTCGGCTCGTACTGTCATTACAGGAGACCCTAATCTGTCGATCGATGAAGTCGGAGTTCCTCGCAGTATTGCGCGCACTCTCACGTACCCAGAATTGGTCACACCTTACAACATCGACAAATTGCAAGAGCTGGTCAGGAATGGACCTACGGAGCATCCTGGAGCAGTTTATGTGATCCGTGACGATGGACAGCGTATTGATCTGCGGTGGAACAAGCGCGAGGTACCCTTGCAGCTTGGATGGAAGGTAGAGCGCCACATTAACGATGGTGATGTGGTCATTTTCAACCGTCAGCCGTCGCTGCACAAGATGTCGATGATGGGACATAAAATTCGCGTGATGCCGTACTCGACCTTCCGACTGAATCTGTCTGTCACATCGCCATATAACGCCGATTTTGACGGAGACGAAATGAACCTGCACGTCCCACAGTCAGTGGAGACCCGCGCCGAGATCACGGAGATTTGCATGGTCCCCAAGCAGATTGTGTCACCCCAGTCAAACAAGCCAGTTATGGGTATTGTGCAGGATACGTTGTGTGGAGTCCGCAAGTTTACGAAGCGCGATTGTTTCTTGACCAAGGAGACGGTGATGAACCTGGTGATGTGGGTTCCTGGCTGGGAAGGATTTCTGCCAACACCCGCGATTTTAAAGCCCAAGCCGCTATGGACCGGAAAGCAGATGGTGAGCATGATTATTCCCAAGGGCATCAACTGTATCACATTTCATTCGACACATCCGGACAACGAAGTGAGTGACATCTCGCCTGGAGACACCAAGGTCATTGTGGAGAACGGCGAGCTGATCTGCGGTATTGTGTGCAAGAAAACGGTGGGAACATCTGGAGGCGGCTTGATCCACGTCATTATGAACCAACACGGCCCCGAAGTGGCAAAGACGTTCTTCAATGGATGCCAAACGGTCGTCAACTACTGGCTGTTGCACTACGGTTTCAGTATTGGTATCGGAGACACGGTTGCAGATCGCAGCACTGTGATGACCATTACGTCGATTATCAACAATGCGACGAGCAACGTGAGCGACCTGATCATACAAGCGCAACAGGACAAGCTGGAATGCAAACCCGGTATGACATTGCGCGAAACTTTCGAGTCGAACGTCAACAGGGCGCTGAACACGGCTCGTGACGATGCAGGAAAGATGGCACAGCAGAGTTTGCGCGAGGATAACAACGTCAAGCAGATGGTTATTTCTGGATCGAAGGGATCTTTCATCAACGTTTCGCAGATGACAGCGTGTGTAGGCCAGCAGAACGTTGAAGGAAAGCGTATCCCTTTCGGTTTTAAGTACCGCACGCTTCCGCATTTCACGAAGGATGACCACTCGCCCGAGAGTCGCGGATTTGTCGAAAATTCTTATTTGCGTGGTCTTACGCCCCAAGAATTCTTTTTCCACGCCATGGGAGGTCGTGAAGGTATGCCGCCAATATGATACCTGTTTGAGTGGGCTGCTTATGGATAAATGTGTGGCTATATTCAAATTATACCTGATTGCTAACTGTCTTTATCTCTATTCGATCACAGGTTTGATTGATACCGCTGTCAAGACCGCCGAGACCGGTTACATTCAACGTCGTTTGGTCAAGGCTCTGGAAGATGTGATGGTCAAGTACGATGGCACTGTGCGTAACTCGCTTGGGCATGTGGTCCAGTTCTGTTACGGCGAGGACGGTATGGATGCATGTCACGTCGAGAAACAGCGTCTGGACTCGGTCAAGATGTCGAACGCGCAGTTTGAGAAGAAGTTTCACGTCGATCTTACGGACAAATCCAAGGGATTCAAATCGGGCTCGTTGGACTACTCTGTGATCAAGGCGATAGAGGAGGCCGATGCGGAGGCAGCTAAGCGTGGCGAGCCAGATATGCAGACGCTGCTGGAGCAAGAGTTCAAGCAGTTAGAGACCGACCGTAATTTGCTCCGCAACTACATCTTCACGGAGGGCGACGATTCATGGCCGTTACCGACGAATATCAAGCGTTACATCTGGAACTCGAAACAGATGTTCCATGTGGACCACAAGCGACCAAGCGATCTGGATCCACGGCACATTCTGGAGAGCGTCAAGAATCTGGAGAAGCAGCTCAGTGTTGTACGCGGTACCGATCGCATCAGTGTGGAGGCGCAAGACAATGCTACTTTGCTGTTCCGCATGCTCGTTCGGTCGACACTGGCGGTCCGTAGAGTGATCGAGGAGTTCCATCTGACGCGTGAAGCGTTTGACTGGGTGGTTGGAGAGATTGGATCTCGTTTTGCGCATGCGATTGTCAACCCCGGAGAGATGGTCGGCACGGTTGCAGCACAGTCGATCGGAGAGCCCGCCACGCAGATGACGTTGAATACGTTCCATTATGCAGGAGTGTCGTCCAAGAACGTTACACTAGGAGTGCCTCGTCTGAAGGAAATTATTAACGTTGCCACCAACATCAAGACACCCTCCTTGAACGTGTACCTGACACCAGACTGTGCCCGCAACATGGAGCGCGCCAAACAGGTCCAGGTCGCGTTGGAGTACACAAACCTGAAAAAGGTCACGTCCGCGACTGAGATTCACTACGATCCGGATCCAGAGAACACCAACATTGAGGAGGATCAGGACTTTGTGACAGCATACTATGCAATGCCAGACGAGGATTTGAACTTGGCCAGGACATCACCGTGGCTGCTGCGTATCGAGCTGAACCGCAAGATGATGCTCGATAAGAAGTTGACGATGGCGGATGTGTCCAACAAGATCTCGGAAGATTTCCAGCGCGACTTGATGTGCATCTGCTCTGACGATAACGCTGAGAAGTTGATCATCCGCTGCCGCATTATCAGCGAAGATCCCGCAGACAAGCAGGCGGATGTACAGGAGGAAGAGGATGTGTTCTTGAAGAAGATCGAGAGCAGTTTGCTGAGCTCGATCAGCCTGCGCGGTATCAAGAACATTGCTCGCGTGTACATGGTTGAGAAGAAGAAGACGTATATCAAGACTGATGGCACATTCGGATCGCAGATGGAGTGGTACCTTGAGACAAGCGGATCGAACCTGAAGGCGGTCATGTGCGAAGAGGATGTGGACGCTACTCGTACGTACTCGAACAATTGCGGTGAAGTAATGGCAGTTCTGGGTATCGAGGCCGCTCGCCAGGCGTTGCTGAAGGAACTGCGCGGAGTCATTGAGTTCGACGGTTCCTATGTCAACTACCGCCACCTGTCTCTACTGTGTGATGTGATGACACATCGCGGCCACTTGATGGCCATTACGCGCCACGGTATCAACCGTGCCGAGACTGGTGCACTGATGCGATGTTCGTTTGAGGAGACTGTCGAGATTCTGATGGAGGCTGCCGCTGTTGGAGAGTTGGACGACTGTCGCGGAGTTGCTGAGAACATCATGTTGGGCCAGCTTGCGCCTCTGGGAACGGGCGAGTTCGACTTGATGCTGGACGAGAAGATGCTGAGCACGGTTGTGGAAGGACCTCGTCCTGGTATGATGGGTATGGGTATGGGCATGGGCATGGGCATGAACGGCGACAATATGGCGTCGTCGATGACGCCTTATGATGGACGGTCGCCCCAATATGTCGATTTCTCACATCCTGGCTCGCCGATGGACGCCGTCTTCTCGCCTATGGGCAATTCTGGGGCGAGCTCCCCAATGGGAGCGGGCACATGGGATGCTGCAAGTCCATATGGAGCAACTAGTCCCGGTTACTCGCCTGCATCGCCTGGGTATTCACCCAGCTCGCCCATGTACGCGACCAGTCCTGGATACAGTCCCACGTCGCCGAGCTACAGCCCGACATCGCCCAACTACTCGCCGACCTCGCCCTCGTACTCTCCCACATCGCCGTCGTACTCGCCTACGTCTCCAAGCTACAGTCCGACGTCGCCATCATACTCGCCTACTTCGCCATCGTATTCGCCGACCTCGCCGTCGTACTCGCCTACGTCGCCAAGCTACTCGCCTACATCTCCCAGTTACTCACCCACGAGTCCTAGCTACTCGCCTACGAGCCATGGTTATGGAGCCACCTCGCCCGCGTACTCTCCAACGTCGCCTTCGTACTCGCCCACATCGCCATCTTACTCACCCACCTCACCATCGTACTCACCGACATCGCCGAGCTACTCTCCGACGTCGCCCTCGTACTCACCCACCTCCCCGTCATACTCTCCTACGTCTCCGTCTTATTCGCCCACGTCGCCCAGCTACTCGCCGACGTCGCCTTCGTATTCGCCTACGAGCCCCAGCTATTCGCCCACGTCTCCGTCGTATTCACCCACTAGCCCTAGTTACTCGCCGACGAGTCCCAGCTATTCGCCAGCCAGCCCTAGCTACTCGCCCGCGTACTCGTCTTCGGGCAGTTCGTTCTCACCGATGGACTATTCCGGAGGAGTGAACAGTGGCGCGGCGACACCTGGACGACCGGGACCATCGTATAGTCCTGCGGGTGGTAGCAATGGATCTGCGCAGGGCAAGTCGACCAATCCCAAGTATTCGGACGATGAAGAAGAGTAGAGCGTGCGCAATACAGAAAGTATGGCTAACACGGCCTGCATGACCAGAAGACGATGAGTGATAGGAGGACATGCATTATGAGGTGGCAGGAGACTTGGTGCCAAATGTTGAGGAGAGGATCCTGGCTGAAATTGGTTTGGCTGGTGCTGCAAAAAGTCGCTTAGGCAGCCAGGAAGCCAGCACGATCTTAAGTTTTTGTAAAATAATAAAGGCAAGTGAGAAAAATAAAAAATATGGTAAATGGACTAAAAGGACTAAAAGGAATAATAAAAGGATTAAAAGGAATACAGTGAATTAAAAGGAATAGAAGGATTAAAAGGAATAGATGGATTAAAAGGAATAAAAGGAATAAAAGGAATATAAGGAATAAAAAGAAATAAAAATTAAAGAGAGAAAGCGGAAAAGGAGGAGAGAATGAAGGAAAGAGTGGGTGCTTGCTGTATGTTACACCCGGACCATGGAGCACCCAGCTACATGGTTGGACTGTATGTCGTGCTGCATCTAGTATCGAGAGGAGTGCTTTGAAAGAAAGCTCTTTACATTTCCGAAATTATATTCTCCACGAAAGTCAAAAATGTACGTTTACTGTGCACAGCATTTGGATGATAGAGACTCAGTTTAGGCTAGAATCCATTCGCTTTCTTTAGCCTTTTTTTTAACAGTTGATTTGAGGGGAAGGCTTTTATTTATACAGACGCCGTGGACTGGTTCTGTGGTGCCCTGTTCCCCTTCGTCTTGCCAAATGCGATATCCACACTGCCATACGCGTTTAAAAAAAAAAAAAAAAAAAAAATGCGTCCTACAAATATTAATAGTTTTAACGTGAATAACATTGATCTATGCTTTTATTACACGAGGATAAAATACTATAGCGACTTGAATTAGAGATCAATAAATAGAAACTGGCCCGCAATGGCTGCGACCACAATTAGCAAGATACTCAAGTACTGATGTCGCACACTATTCAACACAAAGAAAGCGAGGATAAAGATAATGGCCGAAATTGTATTGTGTGCCGCCAGGGTAATCAGCTCTGCAGAATCTAGCACCACGCCAGGCTTGGGCAGATGAATCACCGAGGCCTTAAGCACGTCCAGCGCCGTAATGGCGATAATTCCAACAACGGAAGCCGTAATGCCGTCAAAGAACGTAGCCATTGTCTCGTTCCTGCAAATGCGCTCCAGCAGAGAGTGGCCCGCAATGGTGAACAGGAAACAAGGAATGAACATGCCGAGGGTCATGAGGACACTTCCAGAGAAGGCATAGCCCAATCCTCCGTACGTGTTGCCTCCTTGGAAGCCAACAAATGTAGCAAAGATGACGATAGGAGCTGGGATAATGTTTCCAAGAGCGATTCCGTCCAGGAACGTCTGCTTCGCGAGCCAACCTCCCAGGACAACAGCCTCGGCTTGAACGAACGGAATGGCAGTATAGGCTCCTCCAAATGAGAGACTCCCGGCAACAAGACCGAGTGCGAGAAGATGGGGCAGGTCCGGTACTGCGGCAACACCCAGTGCAAGAGCGGAAGGTGAAGGCACTCCCTTGAAGACAACATAGATCGCGTATCCGACGTAGTTCAACAGCATGATGACTCCTGCAGCCCATCTCCAGCCGCGCGCCCAAAAACTGTAAAAGATCCCAAAGACACCAAGGGTGATAAAGTAGTTGATTCGCAGAGCCGACTGGAGGGCACCCAAAATAGCAAGGAAGAAGAGGACGCGGTTGAGCTTTTGGGTGTTGTTGGAGACAAACACATGTTCGCCGATCCTGAACACAGCCACAAGGACCATAGCGGCGACGACGGGTTGGAGCGCGCGGAAAGAAGCGTTGAAGTAGGCGTTTTCCAAACCGGCGATGGTGTAGAGGTAACTCAGAAGGACCATGGCCAAGAATCCTGGAATGATGAATCCCAATCCAGCAGCGATACCTCCAAGGCGCCCACCGACGAGACATCCAAAGAACATGCAGATCTCAGCAGCCTCAGGTCCTGGAAGCATCTGATAAACTGCGTAGACTCGATTGAAGCGTGCAATGGTAATCCAGCGCCTCTTGATGACCAGTCTATCCTTAATCCTTGCGATTTGCGCCACTGAGCCGCCCCAGGCCATGAGTCCGAACTCCAAGAAGAAGAAGACGAAGATCTGGAGGAAGCTCATCTTTGGTAAGTTCGTGTTGTCTTCAAACTCGTTGGAGGGGGCAAGCGAGTCGAAAGTAATCGCTGGCTCTGTATTTGTTGGTACATCAACGGTTGTCTCTGATGATGCAGTGTAGGCTGTGTCATTTTTCTCAGCAGGGATATTCATGAATCCATTGTCGGATGCGTGCGGTGTAATCTCGGCGTTGGTTTTCGACATGCTTGGTGGGCAGAATTGGACGAAGCCTCGGTAAGCGGGGTTCAGCCATGAATTATGGGCCCTTTTTATGTGCAACCTGCTTGCTGCTGCAATATGGCGTGCTTCATCTCTCCCGAAATTACTGCGGGAGCTAGGATAATCGATCGACAAACTTTGAGGTCCGTGAAAGAGAGCCTGAAAGGCGCACGAGGCGTTAGGAAACTGAATGAGAGGGATTGCAGCCAACAAAGGTCGCATCATCGTGGACACAGAGAGCCCATCCAAGTGGCTCTATCCACGCTTATATTGTCGTTGCGATCTTTTCTGCTATTACGGCTTAACGAATAGAGCGCTGCCGTGAAAAGAAGCCCTGGCTCTAGAGCAGTATAGCGGGGATGCTTGTCTAATTCATTTCAATGTAAGCAGCTCGTCCCCCCGATAACCAAGGCTATAAACCCTTCCCCGGTTCGAAACAATCCGTGGATGCAGGAAAAAGTATCTTACTCCGCAGCTGTCCCTAACTCGAACTTTGTCGCAAATAAGCACTAAGAAATGCATTAACCCCTTCGCAAGGGATGGCGTGCTTTCAAATAGATTTGACAACCAACTTGGCCTAAACCTTTCCTGCAAAGAGCTCAGTCGTTCGCTGATTCCCTTCTTCCTACTGACGGATCCAGCGACCTAACGATAAGGATAGAGAAGTTGAAGAGAAGTATACCCAGTAGTCGATCTCAGTTAGTAGATTTGCAGTGAAGTGGCAGAACAAGGTTCGCTGGAAAACAGCATCACCACCACCACCACCCCAGTAAATGTTTTCTACGATGAATTCCTTCACTACCTCTCCTGTTATATTCCTCAGTTCGAGGGTCTAATCAGCAGGGACGGTTCTCGGAAGGGGTATGGCTTAGTCAAACACTTTGGGTATTAGAGTTATCGATGGCATACATTGCCGCACATCAACATAACAACCACACGGGTTGCTTTCATGGTCTCAATATCAATCACAGCCGGCTTGATGTTGGAAAGGATCGAAACTTGACTCCCCGCATAGTATCAAGGGCGAACTAGAGTGATTCCTGCAGGGGGGACACCTTGAGATTTGACGAGTCTTGCGCTTGTTGGAAAAAAAGTAACAGCAATCTGCGACGCGCCGCATTATGTGCACAACACGAAACAGGATATCGGCCATTTGCTTTGAATCGTCGATACCGTACGCTGAAACATGGTGAGCTTATCTCCTTCTTCATTTGGTCCCCTCAAGTGTTTATGACAGAAAGTTGTGTGCCCCGAGGTTCTGTACAAAAAGCATATAGTGTGGAGTTGTAACTGAGGACCTTTTTTAATGTTCATCAAATGCGATATTGCATAGACTATTAAGATAAGCAAAAAAAAAAAATTAGAGACGGGATACAAAGTACGATCTTTATCAGTGAACGAGTCGTCTACTTCTAGTTGTATGTGCATGTAATCTATGTACATGCGCAAAAAAAAAAGGCGCTACACGCGTCAATAGAGTGTTTGTTTTTTTTTAATTTTGGGTCGGGGACCCATAATTTTCGGAAATGTGTTTCCTTCTTTGTCAAAGAAATCTTAAAATAAAAATTGTTGTCATATTTCTCCGGTAGAGTACTCTCTCTCTCTCTCTCTCTCTCTCACCCTAATAGATTTCGCGTGGCGCCGCACAGCTCGTCCTCCTCTTGGATGGCCAATATCATTTTTACTGAATCCAGATGCTCGATGGTAATCTGAAGGTCGAAGAAGGATATCTAAAATGAGGGGTTTTGTTTACTATGGCTGCTATGAAATCGAAATGAGACAAAAATCTCGATATTTAAGGGACTTTGATGTCCCGCAATGTACTTTCATGCACAAACGTCTAGTTCCGACAACGACGCGAACTTGATAAATAAATAATCGATTTTATGTAAAGTAAAATATAAAGAGGATAAATGAAGAGGATCTACAATGCCGGTCAGCACTCGCGTGAAGGATGTGGGGTTTTTTTTTTTGGAGGAGTACTTACACTATGTACAAGTAGGGGAAAGAAAATACGAATGAAATCGCCCATGGTTGACGATGACAAAATAAATAAATAAAATGAGGATTACATACACTAGGCCTCAGCCTTGGTGGTCGCCATAGTCGTTGCAGGCTCGCGTGCAACGACAGGCGATCCTGGCGCAGGAGTGAATATGCCCGCAGAAGAAAGCGCCGGCGACGCAATGAATCCCTCCAACGCTGAACGAGGTTCCTGCATCGCCATCAACTTCTCGACCTCTGTCATGGTTGGAAAGAAAAAGAAAAAAGGAAGGAAACAAAGAGCAATGGGTCAGCTAAACAGATTCGTCTATCCTTCATTAAACCCCCCCCCCATCAAATAAACTTACTCGAAATAAGGTGCTTTCCGTAGGTGTACTTCTTGAGCGATTGGAGGTGCGGCTTGATCTTCGCCACCAGCACGTCTCTCTGCTCACCATCGACAACATCCAGCATCTTCTGGACCACATAGTTCGCAAACTGGTCCTTCATCATCAAGACCAAGGGCGCCGTACCATCCGGCTTCGTCACAATCACCTCCTCGATCAGCTTCTGGCGATCCGACTTTGATCCAAACGCAACACACTTCTCCACAACGTTGCTCGCAAATTTGTGCTTACTCAGCGGGAGGACTTGGCCCATGACCTTGGAGATCACCAAGGATTTCTCCGCTGGCTTGCCACGCTCCAGAATGTGTTGGATCACATAGTTGCCGTATTGATCCTGCACCAAGTTGGGGATGTATCGGTGCAATTCCTCCATCAGCGGCTAAAAAGAAAACAAGAACGAATCCAAGAAAGATCGAGCTGTTCGTTAAGAACAAGGGTATCTGAAGGCTATGTTGCATTCCACCAAAAAAAAAAAAGAGTCCCTATAGTACTTACAGTCTTGGTATCAGAACAATGCTCGAACATGCGCTGGATAACACGGCAGCCATAAGGATGTGTGGCAAGAGAATACACCTGTCCCGTAAACGAGTTCATGATGAACTGGATATGCTCCGCCGGGACACACTCGATCGCCTTTTGAATAACATGGTTCCCGTTCTGGTCCTTGACGCATTTCAGCACATGTCCCTCCAGTTCCTTGACCAGAACCGCCTGCTGATCGCTCAGCACATGCTCCAGCGCCTTTTGCACCACACGGCATCCATACATCTGCAAGGCCAGCGACAGGACATGGCCTTCCATCTGCGTTGCAAGGATAGTCTTCTGCTCCTGAGCCCCGTGCTCGAAAAACTTTTGGATCACGTAGTTGCCAAACACGTCCGTCATGAGCTGCAGTGCATGCGGCAGGATCTCGTCAAAGACCATGAGCTTGTCCTCCTCACTCGCAGTCTCAAGCTTTTGTTGGATAAACCGTGAGCCGTGCTGATCGCCGCTGAATTCCACCACGCTGCCCACAATGTCCTATTTCGTTGAAGGAAAAAAAGGGGGAAAAAAAAGACCGTGTCAATAGAGTAATGTACTTCTTAATAGGACTCGCCGCATGCTCAGAAGAGCCATGGAATTGCTCGCATTACCTTGAGTTCATATTTCCGGTTGCTCTTATTGGCTCGGAACTCTTCCAGTAGCGGGCTGCGAGGACCATGCGCAGCATCATTCTCTGCGTCCCTAACATCGTCCGCCTGCTGGTGCTGACTCCTCTGGAGATTGCCTGACGCATGAGCTCCAGCACCGCCGTTTCGCGAGCTGCCCGGTTCGGATTCTAGTCCAGACTTGGAGTGATCTTGTCCATTTCTGAACTGTGTTGCATGCTGATGCTTAGGAGACGAGATTTGTGAATGCTGCCCCGAGTGAGTATTGTTATGCTTCGAACGACCCTGCTTGGACTGTCCTGGTTTCTGTGCCTGAGAATGATGAGGCTGCTGCAGGTTATGTGCCTGCTGCTGCTGCTGCTGTTGTTGTTGTTGTTGCTGCTGTTGTTGTTGCTGTAACATCTGCTGTTGTTGTTGCTGTTGCTGTCTCATAAGCATCAACTGCTGCTGCTGCATCATGATCTGCTGCGATTGGAGCCGTAGCTTTTTCTCCGCAGCGCTGTTCATGGCACGCGCAGCGGCTGCGCCGGTCGAGTCATTCATGTCAACACCGAGTCCAGAGGGCGAGCCGAATGTGTCGTACACACCAGCAGTAGGTGAATACAACGCTTGCTGCTGCTGGTGAAGCTGAAGCAAGGCCGCCTTCCGGTACTCTAGAGACGGACTGAGCGCTGGATTCTGCATGCGCCACGGATCGTACGCTAGATCGTTGGCACGGAACCCAAGAGATGCCTCGTCATGCCCCGCCATCATCGAGTGCAGATCTAGATGGTGCAGTTGGATATTTAGCGTTAATATATAAATATAAAGGGCTCTTCAAAATCAACATCATGGGTCATTTGATAAACACCTTTCTGGACACATACCCTTCTGAGTTGGTGTGAGGTGATCCTTGTTCATCTGAGGGTCTGGCATTCCTGAAACGGGCATGAACTCATATCCAAACTGGGAATTAACAAGTCGAGGATCCTTCAGCATGCTCTGGTTGTCAAAATAGGGTGAGTACGTAGTGACGGGCGTATGTGATCCATGGACTTGATGGTGTGCCTGTTGGAACTGTTGTCGCTGTTGCTGCTGCTGCTGCTGTTGCTGTTGTTGCTGTTGCTGTTGCTGTTGCTGTTGCTGTTGCTGTTGCTGTTGCTGTTGCTGTTGCTGTTGCTGTTGCTGTTGCTGCTGTAGCTGAATTTGCTGTAGCTTGAGCTGTTGCTGGTTCAAATGGTATTGCTGTCTTCTCAAAGCAGCCTGTTGGACCGCCAAATCTTCGTCCTACATACAAAAAAAGAAAGCAACATGTAAGCTACATGTATGTACGTATGCGTGATTTCCAACGTCATCGGCTCTCATATCAAATTATATCATAGCTCACTTACTGTGCCTCCAAGCTGCATGCTGCGCATGCTATACTCTAGCTCAGTCTGGGTGCTGTCGAATCCATTGCTCTCCATCACATATCCACTGACAAATCCCCCACGCGAGAACCCATGACCTTGGGTCGGTGGAGTCGAGGACGAGCGCTGAGGCGGTGCAAATGTAGTCTGGAACAAGGGTGATTTGGCATTGAACATCGTCGGCTTTTCATCCTCGTATGCGTCTAGGGCTGCATTTAGCACCGATTTCAATTGCGAGGATCCATCGTCCATGTAGTCCGATGACAGACCGCTATCTAGCTCACTCTGTGAATTCATTGTGCCCTGGTGTGATGGGTCGTCATACTCTAACGAGTCCGAGATTTCATGTCGCAATGTCGAGGGTGCAGTCAAGGGAGACCGCACAGACTGAGCGGGGGCGAGCGATTGGTACAGAAGACTGCTATGGCTCTGATGCTGGTGTTGTTGGAAGAGTGGGGATGGCGATCCTGGGAATTCCTGCGAAGGTGAGGACATGCCCGGTGCCCAGATGCGGTTGAGATGGTCAACAGAGTTGGCAGTAAACATGGGCGATGTGGGCACGGAGGCAGCGCTTTTGGCAGAGCCGATGGGGTTGTTGGCACTAGCATTGATGTCAAGGCCCTTGCGATGCATGAGGAGGGGCGAATGCGTCTCGCTCTTTGGGGTCTCTGGGGTCATGATGTCCTGTCTCCACAAATAGGCGTGGTCGGTGCTGGTCCTTGGTTCCGGTCCTGCAGATGCCGCCCCCATGTAGTCGCTCGGACCTAATGGTCGCCGTTTTTATTCGTTGAATGGTGGTTAGTTCATACAATTGCATCACATTTAAATACACAAATGAACACCGCACACATGAATAGATGTTTCGTATGGAAAAAAAGAAAAAAAAGTTGCATTGTCAAGCGCGGGCACGGCCCATTTCGTCTGTTTGACAAACGTTTCAAAAATGGAAAACGGTCCCTGCGCATTAGAGACTGGGAACAACAAAGTGGAGCAATCTGCTCAACAATAACGTCGCATCCAAACAAGAGCTCAAAGAAAAATAGAAACGTAGCCATGGGGAGCAAGCCCAACAAGTTAACAAGGCATCGTACCATCCCATGATACGAATCCGTCCTCCTCCTGCCTTTCGCAAATGTGATGACTGGGCAGCATTAAAAAAAAAAAAAAAAAAAAAAAACCTTCGGGACACTTACCGCTGCCATACTCCACATTGGGGCTCCTCAGAAGGTCGTCAGATCCGCCCATTATCCCTGGCGTCCCCGCTGACGAGGACCACAATTGCCATGAGAGTCCAGGCGAATACAATGGCGCCTGCTCGTACTCATGCTGCTGCTGCTGCTGCTGCTGCTGCTGTTGATGCTGCATTGATCTCTGCGATTGCTGTGTAGCTCGAGGGTCCTGACGAGCCATCGACACAAAACCTGCACCACTTCGACTGTTGCTGGATATATAGTCGAACGATTCGGAGCGAAGCAGGTCCGGTGGCGAGAGTGGTGAGTCGAATCCAGGGCCGCCAAAGTTGGTAAATCGAGACTGATGTGCGGGGTGCTGTTGATTCGGAGGCGCTGAGCTCGAGCGGGAGATATCCAGGCCCATGCCGGGCCCAAAGCTGTCAAAATCGCCCAGTTTGCCTCGCAACAGACTTGCCAGTTGTTGCTGAAACGTTTGTAATACAGATGATCGTATTAGCGAGAGGTGATGGCTGGTACTAGTATGCTCGGTCAAAGGTAGCTCCGAAGAAAGACGTAATGATGCCTCTTACCTGTCCGTGGTTATTCATGGTCGAGGGTTGATGAATGGTACCATAACCTGCTCCGGTGCTGGCGCTGTCGTAGCCAGTGGTCTTGGGAGAGGTGGGGCTGGTTGGCCCTTGAAGGAAGGGATCGTCCATGGTGCGCCCTAAGAGTTGCGTCGGGAATCGGAGGGGAAGGGAGAGCAGAGAGCTGTGAGTATGCAGAGGAGGGATCAAGACGGGTTCAGCCAGGTGAATGAGAAAGAGGATGAGCCAAGGAGATGATGAAGAAGAAAGAAGGGTGGAGAAGAAAAAAAAAAAGAGGGCAGTACAATGGTGGACGAGGAAGTGCAAAGTTTTTTTTTGATTGTATTATGGTGTCCGAGGGGGGTGTCCAAAGGGGCAGGAAATCAAGGATATAAGGCGGGCTGCCGCATGGCCACACTGCAGCAATGTAACAATACGGGGGAGAGGTCGACGGCGACGGGGGCGACCTGTGCTGTTGCAACGTGTCCGGAGACTGGGGACAAAGGGGACAAGGGGAACAAGGGCGGGGGGAAGGTGCGTGGAAGCCAAAAACAGGGGCAATTGCTGCAGCTGTGGCAGTTGCTGCCTGCTCCTGCTGGTTGTTTGATACAAATAATGCTGCTGCTGGCTGCTGGCTGCTGGCCGTGGCTGCCTCCTGTTTTCTCTCACGCCCACGCTCTCTGGCGTCGAAGTGGCGGGACCCTCAAGCAGGGGAGTGTTTGTTCGGTCCGTCCGTTGGACTAGAAAAGGGGAGGGGGAGGCAAGATGATCGAGTCCTTACCGCACAATTTACCGCGGGGGGGGGGGGGGATTTTTATAAAGAGAGAGGAGGGAGAAAGAAAAGGATCAGATGCGGATGAGGATGGAAATGAGGATTCGGATCTGCTGGAGTTTGGAATGGCCGAAGTAGACTATGTGTCCTTTCCCCCTTCTTTGCGATGACGACGATCCAAAACTATATTTGGGTCTCAGCTCCGTTCTGGGGACCCATCCAAAAGGGCACCGAACATCATGGATGGATATTTCATTTCCTCCACACAAATACAGGCACTGGTCCATGATGCTCCTCTCCTCGGAATTAACGGTCTCTCCTCCTGGATAGATCGTCCGCATATGACGAACGACGCGTTCTTTAACCGCCATAGACCGCTTTATTTATCAGATCTTACTGCCTACTTATCAACACCTTGCCCTGGATGCCGTCGTAGTGGGCCTGCGGTCGCGTCAATCAATCTCCCTTGGTGTCGAAGCTCCCGAGGACGTCGCTGACGAAGATATCTTGTACTTTAGACTATCCGCCGAGGGCGTATACGTCGCCGCAGTCGAGTCCATCGTCGCGCCTGAAATCGTTGACGATGGCGTCTTCACCCCCGATGGCCACCCCAACGGCAACATGCTCTTGTCATAAATAGGCTCCCGAACAGGCTCAGTCCTGCTCGACGTGCTGTTTGAAGTTGGAATGGCTATTGCACCCGCACCCGCACCCGCACCTGCGGTAACAACATCATCAGGAGGAATTGCCACCTTGCTACCCATAGAATACATTTCCTTGTCCTTGGCACCAAAGTCCACAGGGTGCGTAGCTATGCTTCCAGGTGAAGTGGCATTTGAAGCCTGAGCGTCGGTCTTATCAGTTTCACTCGTAGTGCTGCGACGATGGAAGATGCTCTTCACCCTGTCGACGAAACCAAGGTGATGATGATGCCCCTGCTGCTGCTGTTGCTGTTGCTGCTTGGACGGCGAGGATGGCAAGCTGTGTCGATCATGATGGCCCTGAGGGTGCTCGTAGCGCGTAGAATCGATCGCGCCTGCTTGGCCAGGAGCCGTGGGCGGGATATCCGTCGATGAAACCACCTTATCATTTAGCGGGGGTGCCGGAAATGCGGCCGAGGTAGCACCCATGACAGCACCCATCGGCACTTCATGGCCCTTCATTGACGTGGGTAAATGCCCTTGAGACGAATCCTTCAACGTGTCATCGTCGTTGTAGTTATCCCTGTAAGCGTTCCAAAGATGATGATGCTCATGGCGAGTCGCATCACTCGTATCAGCCTGACCAGGCGCCGTGGGAGGAATATCCGTCGTCGAAATCACATTGTCGTTCAAAGGCGGTGCCGGAAACGCAGCTGATGTGGCCCCTAAAACAGCAGCCGTTGGTACTTCATGCCCCCTCATCGTCGACGACATATACTGCTTTGGATGTCTCTGCTCCTCCGCCGAGGGGTGTGTCTCAGGATCGTTATTAAGACCTGTGGAGTGTCTTGGTTCCATCTGTTCAGACATCTCAGAAGTGCTGGCAGCCTGGATTTTCTATGTAAAGTAGCCGTAAAAGAGGAGGAGTTAGACACGATCCATTATGCAGATTCAGTTCTACAGCTTATCAAAAAACTCTCGTTAACACACACACCTCCGTGCTGTCGGTTGAAGCCGGCACCAAACCCTCCGATCGAGGGTTTTCCACGCCAATAATAGGCACTTCTGGCGGATGGTTCCCGTATGAAACCGGCGCTGTTCTGTAAGATTCACCGACACCACGGACATTCAGTCCGTTCATAGCATCTACAAGGCGCTCCTTCGCACTCTCGATCTTGTCAGCATCATAAGGTGCCATACGTGCAGACCCGCCAACAGTCGGCTCTGCAATCCGGTACTCGCATCCTCCTGTGGGGGCTAGGCGATTTGCGCGCATCACGGTAGCATCCGTTCGTTGGGGAGTGTGCTCAGAAGTCGCGTTTCTGTCGAGGTCTGATCCAGCAGAGGTGCTGTTCGGGTCGATGCCATACGCACCGCTGTCGATCTGCTGTTCGTTACTCCGTTGCATTGTCGAGTTAGGCTTCTGGGATTGTTCTTTTACAGGTGTCTGGTCAGCAAGAATGTGAGTGTAAGTGTGGTTTGAGTAAGAGGCGAGAGGTGAGAGGCGAGGGGTGGAGTGAAAACGTCAGGGAAGAGAGAGAGATGGGACCCAAGGACCCGCGAGGTGAAAATTTTCTTATGTCAAAAATGAAACGGCGAAAACGAATATGAAACAGAACGACGTAATGATGGGACGTAACGTCTTGCATGGCTCCACGACGTCCTCCTCTCCAGGAGCCCAAAAGTCCATTTTCCATCTTAGCCATGCCAAAGCGATACAAAGCGACACAAAGCGATACAAAGCGATATAGGGCGATGGAGCATTTGCCAGGTGGACAGATGAAAATAATGCAAATTTATTTTATTTTTCTAAAAGTCCTGTTGCTGCTGCTGGATCTGTCTCCGTTGTCCATAAACCCCCAAGTTATTATTCATCCTTCGCGTCGGCGAAGTGGGCGAAGTGGGCGAAGTCGCCTCCATCATCATCCCTTGCTCCTTCTCCCTCTTTTGCTGTTGCAGCTGCTGTCGGAAACTACTCTTCGGCGTCGGTAACGGCGGAGGCGGGACCGTGTCGATATTATCCTTGTACGCCCTCTGTCCCCGATGCGGAGATCTCGCCCTTGTGCTCCCCAGATGACTAACCTGCGCCTCCAACGCATCCTGGTTCCGCTTGCCCTCCAAACGACCCAATGCCTTGCTCAGACTTGCATCACTGCTGGTCCGGAACCGGTTCCCTATCCGCACATTCGTCGTTGCTGGTGCTGGTGGTGGCGACAACAGCCCGCTTCTTAATGAGCCAGGAGCGCTATCCTCTGAGTGTGAGGACTGGTGTCCGCTCTCATCTCTCGCCCGCAATGATTGCCCGTAATAATTCTGTGTTGTTGATGTCGATGACATGGATGAATTGGAGTTGGCACTATTGGGCGGACTTGCTGCTGCGTTACTCGTGATGGTCGTTTGATGATGGTCCATCCGTTGGTGCCCAAGCGCATCCCGCAGCCGATTTCTCGAGAGCGACCCTGATCGAGTGGGTACGGTCACGATCGGTGTCAGCTCGAGCTCTGCGATCTTAGCAGCCATCTCCTGGGCCTCCTTCTTGTCTGCGTACTCTCGAAGCACGCGGCGAACATGGGACTCGCCTTCGTGATCCGAATCGTCTGAATCTTTTAGTCATTTTAATATATAATGTTACACACAATAGACCGTGAAAGATAAACAATATTAATCAAATAGTCAAGGGCCCAGAAGGTTATTCTTTGATGAGAAATATGAAAACAAGACGGTTCCTGAGGACCGGAAAAACAGAGCAAAGCACCCATTCGATGTTTCATTAACGAGATCAAAGAAAATGAGATCGATAACCATCTACAGCAATGGTGCACGTACCTGGCCAACGCTCTTCACCTGTGATGGTGGCGTTGATAACATCCTTGGCTGCACGCAATCGGTTCCAAAGCGCACTTCCTGTGGTCTGGGCTGCTGCTGCAGCAGTAGCAGTGGCATTCGCAGCTTGATTCAGTGCTGCATTCAGTCTGGGTTCTGTGAAAAAGTCGTTTTTTTTTGTTTTTGTTTTTTTTAGGGCAAAGCAGAGTGAGTTTAGTCGCCATTGTCATTCACAAATGCCCACGATCCACTGACAAAAAGTATGCTGGACGGTTACCATCGCGGATTGCTCTAGCGGCTGCTTCACGCTCCTCTCGTTCTCGCTGCTGCTTCTCTCGGTCTCGTTCCTTCATACGTTCCTGGAACGATGACCCTGTTGTATTGGACCTGGTTGCCAAGTTGCCGTTGCCTGTCCGTTGACTATATCCACCGACACTACTTCCACTCGAATTGGTTCTGTAATGATTTCCATATGAATGGTTACTATTGCTGCTGGCACTGCTGTTACTGCTGCTGTAGGCTGGATTGGATTCTGAGCGGAGTCTGCCATTACTGCTGCTGCTGTAATTGTTAATACTGCTGCTGTTGTTGTTGCTGTTGCTGTAATTGCTAGTGGAGGTATTACTGCTGTCCAGGGGTCGGTGGGGTCGGTGTGGCGCACTGCCGTTACTCACACTCCTGTTATGACTGCTTTGAGACCGAACCGAGCCCTGTTGCTGTTGCTGCTGCTGTTTTTGTCGGTGGCGTTCGAGAACCTGTTGTTGCTCTTGTTGCTGAAGTCGTGGGGGGATGATAGGCATGCCCTGTGGCATCGCATGCATAGGCCGAGGATAATTTTGAGTCATGTTCCAAAAGACGCTGCTGTGCTTGTGTGTGTGAGAGAGGGGAAGAAAAAGTGTAGGGGACTAATGGAAGCCTGTGCTGGTGGAAGGATGAGAAAGGGAATCAACAAGCAAACAGACAAAGAAAAAAAGAGAAAAAAAAAAAGAGTAGAGGAAAGAATAGGCGAGGGAAAATACCCCCGCAATTATTGGATTGATCACCCGTGCCACACAACGCACGTACTGCCTAGAGTAAGGCACTGTTACCCAATGGCGCACTGGATGATATCTGAAACCACCGCAGCGTCCTTGCGTTAAAACAATCCACAAGGACGAACTAGGGCCGTCCGATCCCAATTATTCGCCTATATTAAATAATAGTCTACTGCAGTGCAATGTCATCTATCATCTAATCATCAATATAGTAGTACTTTTCCACCAAATGACATAATAATCGCTGCAAAGGAGTATACTGCAGGAAAAGTTAAGAAGAACACCCTGGCCACAGGTCCCGCTTGCAGATTGGGCACAGTGAGGCAACATTGAGCAACCATGGATCAATGCACTCGAGATGATACTGATGATAACATGGTAGCGTCCGGACCTGGTCCCCAATCTCATACTCCGCCAAGCATATCGCACACATCGTCTGTGCATTTGCATTCGCAAACGGCAACTCGGCCTTCTTCTTCTTCTTCTTCTTCCTCCGGCAATAGTCGTGCGACGAGCAACATCTAGTCGTTCCAGACGAAACCGATGAAGACATTGAAGCAAAGGATGGAGACGATGGTATCGGGTGGTTGAGCCGTCCTTGGCGGCCAACGGCGATCCTGCGGTAGGAGTCCTCTTGGGTCACCGTTAGAGAGGCGGTTGTGATCTGTTCCATATTCATGTCCATGGGTGTCTCCGTCAGGGCCGCTGTCGCTGCGTCCTCATGCCAGTTTTCTTCTTCGTCGCCATCGTGATCGTTGCAGACGCACTCTTCTCCGTCGTCGTTACTCTCCTCTCCATCGTTGCCGCTCACTTCTTCTTCCTTGCCTTCATTTTCCTCCTCCTCACAACTCTCTGCACCGGTTTCTCGCCTCAGCAACACCTGTCCACTGCCAGTTCTCCTCCTGTGCAGCATCTGTCTCTGTGCATTCTCTCTTACGTCTATATCTTGGAGTCCTTCCTCCATCTCGATAACATCTTCCGCATAAGGCAGCTTTCTCTTTGCTGCGAACAAGCCCATATCAGACTGCGTTTTCCCGCATGTAGAGGTGAGCATTACAGTATCGACTGTTATCTCCAGCACTGTGTGGATGCCGTAGCTCTCTAGGATCGCCTTTGGAATCACTTTCCTGTCCCCGCTCTCTCGTATTTGCTGATGTCTTTGCTGCTGATGGCCCCCCTGGTGCGGATGGCTACTATGGCTGGATCGTCGAGACTGGAAGAGTCGGATCTTGAGTGCGACAACGAACAACAGTGCCCCAAACATACCAATCCCAACGCCACAGATCGTGCTCATCAGGGCCATGGCCAGCCTCCCTGATATGCTAGTTGGGCCGTTGCCGCTACGGTATTGGATATAACTGCTGCTCCAGAAAGAGTTGATGCCGTTGGAATGACGAGAGTCCTTGCGGAGGACTGAAGATTGTACCTCGTCCAAGACCTTGGAGGGCAAGGTTGGATGAACGCGTTGAGCAAGTCGATTCGGGCGGGTTCTAGTCTTTGAGTGCCGTATTGAACTGATTTCAGGACCGCTACTGCTTGAGACTGTATTGGCTGTGGGAGCCGGTTCAGTCAACGTATCCTCCATTTTGCCCTGACTACCCTCCTTAGCGCCATGTTTGCCGGCAGCTGCTTTGGAGTATTCTGTCACCCGAGTCCTGTCTTGCTTGCTTTGTGAAGAACGCGATAGCGAGCGATACGAGATTGAAGTCATGACATTCATGTGGCCTTCTACACTCTCCTTGTCCAGCAAGGGCTGTTCATTCAAGCGAGGCGCTCTGAGGTCCGCATGCTGGGTATCTAGCCCGAGATTCATGAGTACTCTTCTCACTCCAGCTGCAGCCCCAGACGCAAATGAGTCGACAAGAGATGCGATTTCGGGCAACGAGATAAAGACGTGGCGCTGCTTCTCAATCTGATGAGTCTTGATATTGCCGCCGTCCGATGTTTCCTTCCCATTCCCCTGCGCCTGCTGAGAGTTTATGTTGTTCATCTCCAGCTCGGTAGATTTTGTTCTTGCTTCATCGAACGGACTGGCTTCTTTAGAAAGAGTGACCATTGCAAGTGCGCCATGGCTGAGGCTATCCAAGGTATAGATGAGCTGCTCCGCACTCTCTTGGCCCAGGACCATTAACGGGATCGAGCTGCCTTTGAGAGCAGACACCACAAAGCAGTCGGCACTCAGTGTAGGGTAAAGAACAATGGCCGAAGCGTCCAATTGCTGTATAGCATGGGCATCGACGCCCTTGACGGCACACGGTATTAATGCGATCCATTGATGCGGCATGGTCGGCATCGGCGCAGACAGCGGAAAGAGTACAATTGGACCCTAGCAAGGTATGAGAAACGACTGCAAGGTTAGTTTGGACAGAAATCCCTCTGTAGTTCGAAGAGTCTTGGTCATAGGATCATTTGCGCAATGAGGCGCAGAGATTTCTCTGCTCGACGTGTTCAGGATAATTTTGATTTCATTAAAATACTAAAGCTGATTGCATAAGGGCCACATAAGAGTGTCCTCCAAACCATGTTTTTTCCCATGTTCCAATGCACCTAGCCCGTTTCCTTGTTCTGCGCCCAATTCCTCCTTTCAGCTCTATTCTTAATTCTACCGCTCTTATTCGTGTGCTAACATGCTGTGAAATTTGTCAATGGCGACGGCGATGATACAAGGAGCCGAGTCATGGGAACTCCCACTTCTCAGGCACCATACCCTGGGGCTTGAGTAGTAAGAGTAAGAAATCGCCCTTCCGCCTGTTATTCTCATCGTTGTCGCCATATGTCTTTTAATGCTCTAACAAGATGGGGTAAGGCCATACAAAGAGATCACGCTGGCACACACAAAGTGCTCTCATACGGTCGCATCATCCCTGTCCGAAGTATTGTAGCAACACTTCTCAGACATAGAGACTTGTCTGCTTGTCTGCCTGACTCAACCCTATAATTAAAAACCGCCATCGATGTTCCACATTGAGGTCCAAGTGCGATGGAAGGAGAAAAGGAAGACGCTTCATTACCGATATATCGTCTTGAAGCCAAGTGGATATCAAAGACATGCTTATCTTGCCGCCCCATGGGTCCACAGGGTTGACCTGGCCCTTCCATAGTGTGCGCTTGAAAGTGGACGATGCTGTGGGGTGACGACGGTAGCGCTGGCGATGAGATCCATAGAAAGCATGGTCGAGACCGTCACTCAGTTGCTCCTCCAGCTGCATCTGTATCCTTCTGAGTGCATCGAGCTCATCCCAATAGTCCCAGAGAGCCTTTGCAAACTCAAGGTTATCCTTGCTCCAGTTTGAAAGCGATGACAGCGAGGAGGATAAAACATCCTGAGAGGATGGGTCGACAGTAGATTTGCCAATCAACATCCCTGCAGCCTCTGCAAGGACGCGTACGGCTGAATAAACGATGTTATCCTCCACGGTCGTTTGCTGCGTATCCTGTTCATTATCGACATTAGTGGTGGTGGTGGCAGTTGTACTTGGATATTCTTCATACGATCTCTGAGTCAATGCATGAGGGTATTTGTGTCGAGAGAGCCGTCGAGGGCCATTTCCGCTGACGGCTGCCTTTTGCCCTGTTATCGTTTCTTGTTCCATAGCCATGTCGCCATTATCCTTGTTCATTACAATTGTTCTCATGGGGCGATGAATACCGCGCTGCTTCCGTGGATCCTTTTGTTTTAATGAGACAGATGAGGAGGAGGGCCGCTTTGCCCTTGTCTGCGACTCCTTGAAACTGCTGCCATGACCATCGGCAGTCCCGACAGAGCGCCGTTGATGCCGCAGCGATGTCAGTTTGCGTCTCGGGTGAGGGAGTGAGGAAGGCACCGAGGGGCTGGTGAGGATGGAGAGCGAAAAGAGTTCCTGGGGACTCGATTCCAGATAGACGGTCAGGGCAAAGGTCTGTGGGTTCGGCGAGGAATGTTGGCGGTGATTGAGATGCTTCTGTTGGGGATGATGGCGCGAGTGCACGTCTCGAAGAGGGAGAAGCGAGGGCGGGTTTGCAGCGGCAGCATTGACAGCAGGGACCTCCGCGCCCATGGCCTGGATGGAGGGGAGGATGGCAGAGAAGAGCAGTGCCCAACACGAGACGGTGCAGCAGACGTCGGAGAAGGGTCTGTCGAGCATCCTGTCGAGGTAACGCGGAGGAGGATGTCTTGGTGCTTGGTTATGGACGGCGGATGAATAGGGCGAGAGAAAGGAAAGGAGGAAAAGGAAGGACAGGGAATGAGGAGGAAGAAGAAGAGGAAGAGAAATCTGCTGGACAATGGAGAGGCGCGAAGAGGGGTAGTTGGCGGCAATGGAGCACGTGCAGTGTCCTTGTCTTTGTGAGTAAGAAAATGAATGGAATGGAGGCAGGAGGCAGAGAGGGACAAGAGAGACAAGAGGGATAAGACAAAGAGAGGAGCGAGGGGGCGTGTCTCTTTCTTTTGACTGAATAGTCTCGCTCACAAGAATCTGTGACTGGGCGCATAAATGAAGCGGAGACGCTGCTTCGCCCATTCCGCCCATCACTCATATTCCACATGGAGCGCACACAAAGATGGGTGGATCGATGGATGGATGAGCAGACTCGTATCTATGTGTTAGGAGCATGAATGAATGGATGAATGAATGGATGTGGATGCGTGGATCCTCGGTAGGGATGAGTGCTGGTCCGTTGGCATTCCCCGCAGATCAACTGATGGGGATCTGATATCATGGCTATCTCCCCCCGGATGTCTTGCTGCTCTCTTTCTCAATTGCTTTTAAGGTTTTATACCTGGTAACGGATTTGATCTCACACTCTTCCCTCATTCACTCATTCACTCATTCACTCATTCACTTTTTTTTCTCCTTCCCGTTCTCCTTCTTCTTCTTTGTCTTCGTCTTTGTTTTCTTCTTCTTCTTCCCATTCGTCATCAATCTTTTTTTTTTTTTTTTTTTTTTTTTCGAATCCTGTATGAAAAATGAATCCTCCGTCGACAATAGGACGCACCTCAAACCAGCAGAATGAAGTCATCGGGGATCAAACCACGCCGAGTCCTGTACCCACCAGCAACAACACCAGCATCTCAAGCGATAATGGCACCACGTTGAACAACAATAGCGCCACAGGCGCAGAAACACCACCACCACAGCAACAACCGTTCCCACCACTTGCAACTGTACATCAACAGGACGACCCTTCGCTGCTCCTCTCTTCCTTTAGCACCTCCAATCGCAGTCATTCAACAGCTGAACTCGGTAGTGGACTCGGTAGCGGCCTCGGTACAGGATACTCTCCTACATTGAAATCGGAACGTTTACTTGGACATCCCCAGTCTACAGCACCGTATACCTCCACAACAAGAAACGACTATTCTTCGTACCCAAATGGCTGCCGCAGTGCCATGGATGGCCCTCCTATGAGTACCTACCAGCCAAGTCTACATCACCGCCATCACCACCATCTTCAGAATGACCAGGAGCAACTCAATGTGATGGCCATCGACTATGAAGGACTGGACGCCTGTATGAACGAGGACATATTAATAGAGAAAACCTTTGACGATTCATCACCCCCCATGCCCGACAGCCAGGAGGGTCGGAGCCAGAGTCTGACCGGTGTCAGAGGACTTGAGAGGACAGCCTCGATGGGATCTACATCAGTCTTTGGAGGAAGCGTATCCAAACGACGATCTGCACGCAAGGCAAGCTATTACAGCGAGCGAGCAGCGCGGGTGAGTTATGGGGACATGCATAATTTCTTATTTTTCCAAGAAATGTAAGAACCTTCCACCTCACCAAAAAAAAACCCCCCGATCTAAAATATAGCCTCCGTTGCAAGAGCAATGGCGATATACATTTTATTCAAGGACCACAGGAATGGTTCAGGCAGCATCACTGCCAAAGATCCTTACGCAGGCATCCCTCCAGGCAGACGCTTCCGGAATGGAGAGGCCAAAGGTGTTTTCGGATCTGTTGAAGGACGGATGTTTCTGGATCGATATCCTCGACCCCGAGGACGTTGACATGCACCTGGTGCACAGGGTAGGCGTCAACATGGAGTTGTTTTTGCTTGGGGGAGCGGATTTTTTCTCGTGCCTCTCGTGTCTCACTCATTCTCATCGGATATACAATCGCCCCGCATTTTATACTTTTTTTTTTTTTTTTTTTTTTTTTTTTTTTTTCTATAATCCAATAGTACTTCCATATCCATCCTCTGACGATCGAGGATATCTCAACGGAGGAAGTACGCGAAAAGTACGAGGTCTTTAGGAATTACTACTTTGTGTGCTTCAGGACGTTTGACCAGGATTACAATTCAGGGTCATATCTTCAACCCGCCAGCATGTACTCGGTCGTTCTCCGAGACGGCATCATCACAGTAAGGAAACGATACGACCCTTATTTTGTTACTTTGCTTACTTTCGATTGACTTGCAGATCTGACATTTCATTAATACGGCCGTTTTTTTTTTTTTTTTTTTTTTGTCGGGCGGGATTAGTTTCATTTCAGACCGTCGCACCACCATCTCCACGTCCTTCATCGTCTCGAGCAATTTCATTCTCATATCACCCTGACACCGGACTGGATCAACTATGCGCTTCTGGACGATATCACCGACAGCTTTGCATCCCCTATCCAGACAATTGAGTATGAGGTCGACTCCATTGACGAGCTGGTCCTCCTCTTGCGAGAGAACGAGACTTCGGACATGCTGCGGCGCATCGGATCCTGTCGTAAAAACGTCATGACCATATCCAGGCTGCTCACCAACAAGGCCGATGTCATCCGCGGACTGATGAAACGGTTCGACGAACGTTTTATTATCGCTTCAGGGGGCGCTTGGGGTAATGCTGGTGCAGGTACTGCAGTAGCTATAGGGGCGGAAGTCGTTACAGCCACAGGAGGGCCAAGGCCTGGGCCAGGACCAAGGGAAGTCGGAAGAGATCCTATCATAGGTGGAGCGGGCGCGACACCCATACTAGCATCAGCAGCGACAGGACAGCAGCGGCAGCAGCAAGGGGCAGCAGCAGCAGGAGGAGGAGGAGGAGGAAGGCCATTGACACCAACATCGCCTGCACTAAATATTACCCAGCCTTATCAACAAGCATTACAACCATATCGGGATGGGGAGATTTTGCTTTATCTGGGTGATATTCTCGACCACGTACTGACGATGCTGCAGTCGCTGTACAGTTACGAAAAGGTCCTGGCACGATCGCACTCAAACTATCTGGCACAGATCTCGCTCGAGATTAACCAGCTGTCAAACAAGACCAACAATGTGGTCGGGACACTGACATTCTTTGCCAGTCTGATCGTTCCTATGACCTTTGTTGCAGGTCTTTGGGGGTACGTTACTTGCCAAGAAATATTAAATCGCTTTTATTTGAAACGAAGTTTATCTGGCTAATTTTATTTTATTTTATTTTTTTATTAGAATGAATGTGCATGTGCCAGGACAGCCAGGGGATGAAGACGAACCATTACATTGGTGGTGGGGACTGTGTGGGTTCATGGGCTTATATTGCATCGTCGCTGTCTTCTTTGGCAAGCGATATGGCCTCATTTAAGTGTCATCTAAATCTAATAAAGGTCCTGATAGCATCCCATCTTCATCAACCATTCTCACTTTCATTACTGTCTCGGCCCATTTTGCTTGTTGTGCTGCTTTAATTCTTCTCGCTGCTCTCTAAAGGTCCTATTCATCTATTGCATAGTCGCCTGCAACAAGTTGTACGGATCCATCTCCTGACTGAAATTTATTCCATGGCGACATCCTCGTCATAATGTCCTGCTTCGTCCTCCTGTCCCTGACTGATGAGTGCATTTGCCTGCTGGAGAATAATCTGATCCCGGTCTGTGTTTGCCTCCTGGAGCCAGAAAAAGAGCTTTTGTGAGGACGACTTGAACTGGAGCATGAGTACGCGTCCTGTTGTGCACTGAGGGACCGTCTTGAGCTCTGCATCACCAGGGAAGAGAATAAGATCCTATTGGAAGAAGGGAATAAGTGTGGACCAATTGAGTCGGGCTGAAGGGGCGCAATTGCTTGCTGCAGTCAATATCCGCACTGAACAGAAGAGATGAAAGAAACATACGTCGTCAACGGTGTTGGTTGCCCGGTTTTTCCAGTAAAAGTGCATAAGACCATCTTCCTCCTCCATATAGACCAGTCTAAGCAGAAGTAGAGCATGAGGTGTTTAGATATTGCTAATCTTTCTCATTGTTATCCCTTGGGTGTCCTGAGCATGCTGGGCAGAATACGACGTGGCCTTCGTTGCTGGTTACCCTTTAGTGGGATCTGGTTGGACTGTGTCTGTGGTTCCCTCTCTGAAGCATCGTCCTGCCTTGAACTGAAGAAGCGGATTGCGTGAAGATGCCATGGTGCTGTGGTTAGTGTTGAATTGTTCTGAGGAGAGTGGTGGTGTTGGAGGTAAAGGTGGAAAAGAGAATGAGTTGATGCTCTTTGAGCAGAAACACGTACGCGTAGAGCGAATGTGACGTAGCAAATTACCGTTTCCAGACGCGATCCCTCCTCTTCGCCCAAACGCTGACAAGAGGGCGTCTTTGATCGTCTCTCGCCTTGATCTCTTCTTCACCCCATTACTCTTCTTCATACTTTTCTACTTCTTCCGCTCTTACCGACGAGCCCACTTCAACAATGTCACCGACAACGACCCGAATGATCCTCAACTCGCTCATGGACGCCTCCAGAGTCAGAGCAACTGCCTCCTGTCGCCAGATCTCTCGCCCAAGCAACGCTTTTTCAACGCTGACACTTGCAGCTACCAGGAACAACGCCATTAAACCCGCACCCCTTCCACCTTGTCTTCCCTTTAACAGCAGTTGCCTCTCAAAGACTATTACTCGCCACAGGCGTATCCCAATGGCCTCGTCTGCTGCTTCGCATTTTCACTCTTCAGTGCCAGTTAAAGAGAGCGACAGCAGCAAGTCAGCAACACCAAAGAAACCCGAGACACGACCCTGCTGGAAGTGCTCGACACCAATCCCCTTCATGGCTCTCTTGTGCAGCAACCCAGACTGCAAAGTTGTCCAGCCTATCGCCCCTGGCGCCAACTACTACGAGACCCTTGGATTGAAGTACGCCTCAATAGTTTGCTGCCGCTGCGCTCTTTGTTCAAACAAGATTTATTTATTTTTTGTCACTCTAGGGGTCATGGATCCGATCTAATCTAACTAAGGATGAACACGCATTCTTTTTATTTGTTTGTTTGTTTTTCCTCGTCCCACTTAGCCCAGAGCCAACGTTCGATGTTGACGTCAAAACTCTGCGGAATAAGTTCTTGAGGATCCAGCAACAGATCCACCCGGATTCTTATTCACTCAACACCAATGTATGTTCCAGCTTTTAATTCGACAATATTGGAGACCTCTTTTTCATATTCACTCCTTCCTACTGCCGCAACATCCTGAGATAACCTTCAATCGTATCAACCAACATGGTAACTAGGGCGATCAAATGTATGCACAGCAGCAATCCTCACTTGCCAACAAGGCCTACTCAACATTGAAGGAGCCTCTCAGCCGTGCCAACTACATGCTAGACCTTCTTGGTGCTCCTATCCACGAGACCGAGTCGTTAAACGCGCCAGAGCTACTGATGGAGGTCATGGAGGCAAGAGAGCTCTTGGAAGACGCACAGACGGAAGAGGAGGTCGAGGATCTGAAAAATACGAACGATGGTATGATGTGCTTCCATTGCCCTAGTTATTCATTGGTGTAACGACAAATGACATTGTAACTGATTATTTGTTTTCTTGGGATGTGGTTGATAGCGCGCATCAAGGAGACGGTCGATGGGCTGACAAAGGCATTTGGGGAGCAGGATCTGGAGGCGGCAAAGACGCTTGCGATCGAGCTGCAGTATTGGATCCGCATTAAGAATGTGATCCGGGACTGGGCTGCTGGCAAGCCCATTGTCGCCGATCATGTCTAGAGCGTGTACCATACATAATAAACAGCGCTACGTATGCTATTGCGTTCAATTGATACATATTTCCTGAAAGAAAAGGACATTGACGAACCAGCTAGTCTTGGAAGTGGCCCCGAAAAATGATCAAAAAAATATATCGGGCTACGCTGAAGGTGTACTGCTTCCCCGGTCTGTATTTGTGTGCTTCGCAATGCCACCAAGGGAAGGTCGACTGAGTACGGCGACCGGGTTTCATGGGAAACATGAATGCAAGGACCCAATAACCAGCACCCAATAACCAGCACTGCTGACTTGATTGCAGAAAGAAGGAGAGCAGAGTCATACAGTACTTTCTCGTGCCGTGGATCTGGCTAGTCCTTCGAGTTCGCATCGGGCCCTTTCTCATACCCAAGGTTTACACCAGCTCGCTACTACAGGAATCTGTCTACGGCCTCACTATAACGCTTGGGGATTTAACCCTCAGTAACCGGGTTGGCAGCTGGACCAACATTCCTCTACGAAACTGAATACCTACCAGATCGCGCTTTTTGCCTAAAAGTCTAGCATCGTTAACAGCACCCTCCTCTTTTACCAAAAAAAAAAAAAAAAAAAAAAAAAAAACTCCAGGTAATCTAGGTGGTGGTCTACACTCCTTTTTCATAGTGAAATGTGCATTTTTTACTAAATTAAAAAAATATAAGGGCGTTATTCAGTTTTGTGATGGCGGTGACCCTACCTTATATCCTCACACTTTTTCCCTCTCTCACTTTTCCCCGAAAAGCAGCACGATTGGTGGTCCGTAAATCCAAGCAGATATAAAAATGGACTGAATAACGCCCTTATATTTTTTTAATTCAGTAAAAAAATGCACATTTCACTATGAAAAGTGCATTTTTTCGCAAAAAGGAGTGTAGATTGTTTGTTCCTCCACAACAACAGGTGTACTCCCATATGCAATTCAATGCACATAATGAGCTATAGTAGACTAGACTTGAGGTGTTGAAGTGCGCAGGCGGTTTGAGCGTTGAGAGTTGATGCGCGGCAAAAAAAAAAAAAAAAAAAAAGCTATCAGTCCTGTGCAAACACATGTTGAGCTTCTCCTCCATTAGTTCAATAGTCTAACCTTGCTTTTCGAAATTCTGTGGTTGGCGCGACGTACTGCAAAAACTCTCGTGTCGTGTTTAGCGGCAAGAAAGAAAGAAAAAAGAAATAGATGTGCGAAGATGGCAACAGAAAACAAAAACAAAAGCAAAAGCAAAAGCAAAAAACAGAACGGGGGAAACAGCTTGCCTTAACCCGGGACCTGGTACAGTATGAAAAACAGGCACTGAAGTACAGCACACGATCAACGAACTGTCTCCTGTAGAATATGCTATATTGTGTAAGCAAGTGCATATCGAAGATTCTTCTGTCCACAAACACGGGTTCCTTCCGCTGAAAGGCGACAGATGTGTCATCTCTGTTTTAAGCATTCAAACCCCGAGCAATCGCATGTGGCACAAGGGATCACTACTTTGGAGAAACAAACAAGCAACAACAGAAAATGAAGAAGGAAGTATTCGCGAGCGAACTGACACTTCGAAAGAAAAGAGTTCAGTGTTGCCAGATTTGGCAAAGTGCGGGGTCAACCAGGATCATTTTATGCTTAGGCCATTTAAGGTTTATCACGTCTCCATCATTCAGGAACGAGAACATGGGATGCGAGGGTAGACCGGTCCACACCTTCAAAGAATTCGCTCACGGTCCACTCTTTACCCAGGTCATTTCTGGAGACAAGGGGGGCGCAAAGTCGCTGTGGTATGAGGTCGTGCAGGGCATTATACTTTTAAAAGTTATTTTTTGTGGTGAGCCTTGCTTGCCACGTGCGCTTTATCGCGTTCTCCCTATCACTTCCCACCAGAAACGCGTGTTTGTGCTCCCATTGGCTGATAAGCAGAGCCAATCGATTGCGGCGTAGGCAGATGTTTCCAACAGCGCCCACGCGTCACAGCCTGCTGTTTGCTGCACATGAATAGATACGCGTCCTTTGGCCTTGACTCTGCCTTTGTCAACAACAACACTCCACTTTTCTCTTCAGCAGACAACACTCTCGCATAGGATGAGACACACAACACAACTCAGTGCTTCCGATCCTCCCTGGAGCCATCCTTGCATCCGCATTACCTTTTCGATCGGATTGTCATGTTTGAGATCGGGGGAATGAAAGCGTTTGCGTGAAAGGAAGGGCAGGAAAAAAAAGGTGAGAAAAGGGAAGTATGGCTGGAAGAAGGTCAGCCGTGTGTGTATGTGTGTATGTATGCATGTGTGTATGTGTCCGAGTATGTTGACTTCATGTCGGTCGAGATATCTGGATATCTGATTCGGTAGTGGTCTAGACAAGTACGCAATTAGACAAATGGTACGCTCGACGGCCAATTCATCCTAGGATCACGAAACTGCATTGTTGTGTAGAACACTCAAGAGGGCTTCTTTTTTTTTTTTTTTTTTTTTTGCTTCTTTGTGCATTGGCGCCCTGCCGTGGTGTGGCCATATCGTGTCATCAGTCTAGTGGAAGAGCAGAAGTGGAGGAGAAGGTGGTATGTGCAGCTGAATGCATTATTTGTTTGTTTGTTTATATGAACGAAACCAAGGAGCACTTCTCCAGGCTACACCCGTTTGATCCCCTATCTCTGAGGTAAACCAAGATGAGCGCGTCCTTCCTCTGAGAGCTGATCCACAGCAGGCATCAAGGAGGATGTGACACAAGATGGCGGAAGCCAGCGCATGCAGCGGCCCTAAATCTTGTCGCCAAAGGAGCATCAGGTCAGCGATGCAAAGAAGATAGACATCATGTACAACAGCAGTACCTGTATGTGTGTGGATGTATGCGTGGATGCTGGAGCCGACCGTATCTCGAGAGCGCGAACACGGTGTGGTCCGCCAACAACGAGCCCCTCCAGTCCTTGTTCTCCCTTTGTTGTTATCGCCTGCACATCGCTCTAAACGTCGCATTGCCTGCGATGATGAATGGATAGATGCATGAATGGGTGGATGGTGTTTTGTATTGTACCACTGCTTACAGCACTGCCTGGGCGCCTGCTGCCTGCTCCCCCCTCCCTGCATGCTCCTCCTTTACCCCGGATTGACTGATTCCTGGTGGCGCTGTTCCTCGGTCGTTCTTGGGAGACTATAAAGCCTACCGCTTTCCCTCTTTTTTTTTTTTCTTTCTTCTTTTTTCTTCCCCTTCAACAACGCGAAACCCAAAAAGTCTCCGGCATTGTTCATTCCTCCTCCCTCTCTTCCTCTTCCGGTCTGATCTTCGCCGCTTCTGGTGTCCGTCCACTCCTCCGTCTACACCCCTAGCACCAACCGCCCATCGCCTTCCTCAACAGTTCCCGTCGTTCAATATGAACTCTACAGATCCCGCGACTGCGGTCATCGGCTCCCAATACAATGCCGGCGACATCGCCTGGACCTTGGCCTCCACTGCCCTGGTCTGGCTCATGATCCCCGGAATCGGCTACTTTTACTCTGGCATGGCCCGCTCCAAGAACGCTCTGTCGCTCATCATGCTGTCCTGCTGCTCTATCGCAGTTGTTTCCTTCCAGGTAGATCACCCGTCTCCCGTTTCCTCACCCCTTTCTTCGGCCTTTCCGAACCCCCAACTGACATCTTTCTTTCTTTCTTTCTTTCTTTCTTTGTCGCCGCCAATCTTCTTGTAGTGGTTCTTATTCGGATACTCGCTATCATTCAGTAAATCCGGTGGCAGAATGATCGGAAATTTCGAGAACGCCTTCTTCCGTGGCGTCCTCGACCAACCCTCCGTCGGCAACCCCAAGATCCCAGATCTGGTCTTTATGATTTTCCAGTGCATGTTTGCTGCCTTGACTCCTGCCCTCGCCATCGGTGCTGCTGCAGAGCGTGGTCGTATCGTCCCCACCCTTGTCTTCATCTTCTTGTGGACCACTTTCGTCTATGACTTTATCGCCTGCTGGACCTGGTCCCCTAACGGATGGTCCTTTGTTATGGGAGGACTCGATTTCGCTGGTGGTACGCCTGTTCACATCTCTTCAGGTGCTGCTGCGCTGGCCTACGCGATTGTCCTCGGTAAGCGTTCTGGCGACCAGAAGGATTTTCGTCCTCATAGCATGAGCAACGTTGTCATTGGAACATGCTTCATTTGGTTCGGTTGGTTCGGATTCAACGGTGGATCGGCACTCTCAGCCAACTTGCGCGCTGCCATGGCCTGCGTTGTCACCAACTTGGCTGCCTCGACTGCTGGTCTCACCTGGGTCTTGCTCGACTACCGCCACGAGCGCAAGCTATCGGTTCTCGGCTTCTGCTCTGGTGCTGTCGCTGGGTTGGTCGCCATCACCCCCGGCTCAGGGTTTGTCTCCCCTGCCTCCAGTGTCGCGATTGGATTCTTGGGTGCGCTCGCTTGCAACATGGCTGTCCGTCTGAAGCACTACCTCAAGTACGACGATGCCTTCGACGTTTTTGCTGTCCATGGTGTGGGCGGTATTGTCGGCAACATCCTCACGGGAGTTTTCGCCCAGGCTTCTATTGCCGCCCTCGATGGTACCACTGTCATTGCCGGAGGTTGGTTGGACCGCAACTGGATCCAAGTTGGTTACCAGCTTGCTGACTCGACTGCTGGTCTTACCTGGTCGTTCGGTATCACCTATCTGATCCTCGTCATCATGAACAAGATCCCTGGACTGAACCTGCGTGCGGATTCGGAACAGGAGCATGCTGGTCTGGATATTGCTGAGCTTGGAGAAGCCTGCTACGGTCATTTAAGTGAGAAGGCCAAGGTCATTGATCCCAACGTTGAGGTCGGAGAGGCCAACAGCGGGGTCCACAGCATCGAGAGTTTTGGTGAGGCCAAGGTCGGAAGCGTATCGACCCTTGGAAGGCAGCAACAGGTCGTATAATTCGTCTTTGGCACTATGCTTTTGAGTAATCCTTGCAAAACGCAGATGTAGTTCTATACTTTTACACCACAAAAAACCCCAAATATAAAATAATGTTGTACTGTAGCAAATTCGTTTATTGTAAGTTAAGAGTTTGCTGTACAGTACGCGGTAAGCAAGGAGGTGGCCTGTATTCCTACATAATTGGCCATGGAAATATCGCGCATAGCATAATATAGCTCCATCCGAAAAAAGATACACGCTAGAGTTGTCACTCGCTCTTAAGCGTTTCTTACTTTTCATGGAGTGTAAACGCTTGGAGTCTTGCGCCTCGGAGGCGACGGTGTCCCGCATCTCTTCTTCAGAAGCCTCTATGCTCTCATACGCAGCACTTCCTTGGCCAGTATTGCCGTTCTCTCCTACCAAACGTAAGCGTTTGGGTTGACAAGAAATGATGGCTGGGAACGCAAAAAATAAAATAAGAAACCAGTGCATGTACTTACTCGGTACATAAATAGCGAAGACAGCGTGTCTCCTTCCAGGAACGATTCCATCTCCTGCTCATTCGTAGGGAGTAGCAGCGTGTTGCCGAGTCTGGTCACTCCATAAACATCCTCCACTCTTCTCATCGCAAAAAGACATGCACTCATGCCTATGACCAGGATAGTAGACGTTAGAACGATAAATGTGTTCGGCATAACTCAACTCAGCTAAATTGATAAAACTTCTTATGTGTTGCTGCGTTTGCATGCAACATTAAATTTTTAGCGTGGAGATATTTGAGCACACTTCTTGACAGCCAATAACAGGTCCAAAAAACCAATACACCTTACCGTGGGCATCGAGATAGATGGAGAAGGCGGTATCTGTGTTGAGACCTTGTTCTTCGAGCCGGGCGAGGATGGAGCCATTGATGCGATGACTCTTTAAGGCCTGGAGATGCACCGTCTCTGGATCGACACGGGTGGCCTTGTGCTCGTTGCACCCTATTTCGATCAGGGGTTTATCTCCGGAGCTGCTCTCCACGACCCTCAGCAACATGTTGATTTTTTGGCCAGGCGATTGGTTGTTGTATACAGGACCGAAAAACCGTTCCTGCAGCGTGATATCTTGTTGCGACGCCTTGCAGGCGAGCTCCCCGCTATGATATTACGATATGAATAGAACAGAAAGAGTCAGAAATGGATTTCCCAAAAATACTAATAAAATGATACATATGCGACAAACAAAGACATACAGGTCCAAGTATACTGTATATTCCAATAGCATAGATAGGACGTAACTCCAACGAGCTGTGGGAGTCAGCTCTGCCATGCTATTTTCAAACTTCTTCCTACTGATCATGATCGCACTACGTTACCGCCAAGAACGATGTTAGTATTATTTAAGATAATGAGGTATAATATCATGCTCATGAAATGGTCGCTTTCTGAACATACCAGTATTCAATTATGCCCAACACAGAAATCTGATCGTCGTAATCCTTAATGTCCTTACTGGGATTTCTTCATTCCTTTTCTTGCAAGCAAGGTCTCCTCTCCGAATTTGAGCTTCCAACAAAAGACCCTCCATTCCCTCGTCTTTAAGGACAGTGCTAAGTGCCGACAACAGATCTACTTGGACTTTGCGGATGGGGACGTCCCTCAGCTCCTTGATTCGTCCTATAATTGGGTCGAAGGTGTTATCGGCGTTCTCCATGTCGGCGTTAAGGATATTTGAAAGAGCAACCCTATTAGAAGGATCAACCGGAAAAAAAATAACGGCTTGATTATCTAGACTATTGAACAAAGCATAGAGCATGCAGTGAAATGCGATGTGTATTTACAAGGCATCTTTCTGCTCCATGACCGATAGCTTTTCCTGCGATAGCTTCTTATGGACGAAATTAAGGATGTTTTCCTCATTCTCCGAGCGAAATGCCGCAGGGAGCTCGGGAACAGGGTCCCGTTGAATGTTTCGAGCCTGATAGGCAGTATATGGCGCGTTAATAACATTCATATCGTCAAAAACTTTGCCCGAAAGATTAGGATTAAAATAGTGGAGATAACGAGCAACCACATACCCCGTTGACGATGTGATCAATCCATGTATAATATATCGGTAGCCCCACCGCCTCTGAAGTCAGCCCGCTCGATTCTTTGTTGGAATCTTCAGTAGACGATACCGAAACAGGACCCTACGGACGATTGGATGATCGGATGATTGCGAGTCAAAACAAATACACAACGATATGAACCTGTCCGATAATTCGCAACATACATCTCTGCGAGCTCCGCGAGGAGGTATGGATGATAGCGGCAGTGACGACGACGACGACTGTGATGGTGATGCTGGCTGTTTTGATGTTTCTATTAAGAGGTTGAAATTGTTAGAGAAAAGTTCAAGTGAATAGAAGCACCCTCAGTATCGCATAAACATGTAGCATAAAAGATTCACGACCTACTCCATTTTGTCATCAAGGCCTGTATCTGGGCATGACCTGTATCGCGCAACTGCTCATTGTTGGTCTGCAGCAAATCAGTTGCACGCTCGTCGTTCAGCCTGCTCTGAAGATATAGGGCGACCACCGCCGAGGTCATCGGGCGCGCTCCCTTAGCCACATTTTGAACTCTTTGACATGGACTCTTCCATTCTATGGTGACTGATTTCATCGTCGTATCCCGATCCTGGTTCCTCCACTTGAGCTATTCCAATGGATCGAATGCAAGTGGGTCCTCTCTACTAGTGAAATAACTAGCTCCAGCGCGATTACTGTCTATATGATCCCTCCACTTCCGTCCTGCTTCCAGAGCAGCATGCCAATCGACCTTTTGCGATGAGGTCTTCTTGTTGCTTTTGCCAGGATTCATAGCGAGGAGTTGCCAAGTTGCGATGCAGCAGTTGAGAAAACCTTAAATATTAACTTAAGCTTAGACATGGCTCACTTATACATATCTCTTGCGTCCGTTAAACATCCGCATCACACACATCGCCACGGATCTTGATCCTGGATTATCATCCAACCATTATTAACTAGCGGCGCACGTTAGGATGCATTGCCGGTATTCAAGCCGACAGGTAATGTTACCATCTGGCCTCTCTACTCTCAGGGTCACGCTAGGACGTTCTCCTCCTTCTTAGTCCATCGGTCGCGACCTTGGAAGGAAGATAGTGGGCATTATCTCTATTTCCTGCCAACTCGTGGCCTTTACACCAAGGTATGGGAATGCTCGCCTTGTCCCCGGGCGGTCCAGGAAGACTTGTTCAACTTCCTTGTGATGCGCCAGCTATCATTACACTCGCTTGTTTTGTGAGGGCGTCTGGATAGTGTGGCTACTTGGTCAGCGGCGCACACCTTTACCATCCAGACCTGTGTACACAAGCACCGTCTGAGTGTTGCTTTAAGAGCACCTTGTGGTGTGTCAATTAACGTATCTATATACTTGTCAAAATCGCATGCTATGTTTTAACGACAACTCTATTCTGCTTTGTTTCCACATTTTATATTGTGAGTGCCCATGGCTTGAGGATGAATTGGGAATAGTAATCGAGCACCCACTGTCAACCAGCTTGTCCCACCAGATATAGGACGGTTCCGCGGCAAAGGAGCATTTGTTAGAGATCATGAAGCGATATCGATACGGGCATCTTCCTGTTGTCTGGACCACTTTAGCGCGCAACGTCCTACCTGTTTTCATTCCTGAGCAGAAGAGTTATTGCACGAAGAAGTATGCCTTCCTACTGGAACTAATATATCAAAATTAAACAGTTGTTGTCCTGGCAATCGTCATTTTTCGTGCTATAAGCTAGTGCATAATGCCTTTTTGCGCGACTATGTCTATGTGGCCTTGCACTTTGCTTCTCGAGCCACAGCTGTAGAAAAGCATCGTCCGGGATAGCGTTCTTACAGATCAAGATCGTATTCGTGTGATGGAAACAGCTGTTTTAGGTCCTTGCCCATAAACCCTAATCACAGCACACAATAGAGATGTCTGTTCGGCCATTTCTGAGGACGTCGAGCATAGCACGGCAAGGTTTATGAAAATGTTGTTTGTTGCCTTTCGATCGAGTTGGCACGGATGAACACGTTTCCCTGCCAGTTTCGACCTCGTCAGTCTCGCTGCAGACACGTCTATAGGAGAATCAGAGCCATGTTCATCATCATGTAACGCAAGCAGCGCGCCCACGCGAAGATGTGCCACAGATTCGGCATCCGTTATCATAGCAAACCACAGGCAGCCACAACGCGTCGTGTCCATACATTTTTCTTTTTTCAGCTCCGCAACAGTTGAGCAGCCCAGGTAGGAATGGTTACTTATATGGTAAAGCCAATTGCATGCGTCTCTTTTAGAATAAAGTAATGCATTCAATCCTAGAGCGAGGACCTGTAGTTCTGTAAACAGCTTTTTGTTTCCGACTCTAATTGTACTATGGATATCATCAATCTCATATGTCTAATCCTTTGCATTCTTGCTGAGGAGCGCCTTCTGTCCTTTGTTTCTTGGCCTGTCCAGTTATCAAATAGCCGCATTTATCGCCTCATCTCGTACAATCGACAGCTGAGCAATCCTCTTCTTTGTTAAAGGTGTGTTGTGTAGTTACGAAAGGTTCATTGCATCAGCGCTGCTTCTGTTGCTCCTGCGCCTTCATCTTTTCCTTGGCGAAGATCCAGCGAACAGCATCCTCGACGTGATCTACGACGGCTGTGGCAGGGTGCACATGATGATTCTCATAGCCTTTGGTTCTGAACACGCCAGTCTTGACCAATACAGAGTCCCAGCCATATGCATTGGCGCCTGCAATATCGGCGTATGGGTTATCCCCAACAGCTAAAGCAAGTTATGCAGGAAAAGGTTTCAAGGTATCAGAGGCCTGCCGAAAACGTAAATCGAACCGCGTACACAAATAGGGCGCCAACTCATACCGTAGACGGTGCGCTTCGAGGGTTGCCCATCAGATGTTGGCGGGAAAGGTGAAATCCTATTCAAAAGCGTTTCAGCATATTGATAGGTAGTTGTCATGGGTTTTCCGAAAGTAGTGAATTCCAGCTCCTGACCCGTCAGGTTCTGGGTACCGAATATACAAGGTCGTGACATTGATGAGCATCCATGTTAGTTTTGTCCGCAGTCTTGTACTAGTGTTCAGAGAATCAATGGGTCATCTACCTTGTAAATCTTCTCGAGGCACAGCTTAAAAGTCCCTTGACCGAAACGAGGGACTGGGTATTCGTTGCTCCAGACCTAGTTCCAGGAAAATGAGAGAAGGCACGAACGTTGTATGTCAAGATTGCAATCGCGCATTCCATGGCTACCATCGAGCCATTGCTGCCATTGAACTATCGTTAGATACATACGACATCAGGGTTTGAAAAGTAGATTGGAACCGATTGCTTGGTCGAATGCAGATCCTCAGAGTCCTTGATGGTCCCCAATGCCCCGCCTAATATGATACATCACGCAATGCAGATACTTCATTAATTATCTAGCTGGCGTCTACCATACAAGCTTATCAAAGCGATTCGAGCACTGATAAAATATACCTTTTGATGCAAGGGCATCCAGGCAGATCTGCAGATCGCGGCCCCAGTCTACAGAGTCGTGGAAGACCATAACCGCTTCAACTGGCATTCCGACGTTCTGAAGGTACTCCTATGATCAACAGGCAAACGGTTTAACAAGATCGTACGTTGGATACAGTAGCAGACTTGGGCACACCGGCCGCTCTTCTCACCTTGTTGAATGGAACAGGACGCGCCTCACAAAATGAGATAGGGCAAGCTGAGGGATGGACTGCATGAACTTCTTCGGGGGTGACAACACGTCTGAATCCATAGGACTCTGCGACACGTTTGCAGGACGATCCCTTGCCTCCAACGACCAAAATATTAGAGTCTTTATACTGAGGAACGAGCGACCGCATGGGCGAGTGGGACACGATCAGGTGGTCTGGGTTGACGGGGACGCCGAGCTTTTTGGAGAGCTCTTCAGCTTTTTCGGACTCGGGCACGCCGCCTCCGTTGGTGAGGAAGATATAGGGCACATTGTTCCTAAGGCAATAAACACGATAGGGCGTCAATACTCCATATTGCTTCATTCCGCAAAGGTCAGTAAAACAGATAAAGGGATTGTCGTAGTTGCTTACTCCCAGAGAAGTTCCAGCGCTCGGCGGGTTTGAGGGATAACTTGCTTTCCCTGAAGTCGTTGAAATCTGCGTTACTTCTTGCAATTCATGTGGGGGACATGAAAGTCTTTATATTTCGATTGCTTCGCCATATTTGAACGAACCTTGATCAGGACACCATCGATATCAAAGACGATATTGAAAGGCGCTGTCTTGGGTTGCGTATGCAGTCTACGCACACAGAAGGCGGTTCTGGGTGCCCTGATGGAAAGACGCGCAATCATGGTGATTAAATGGGACAGTCTGGGATGAAGGAATGAGGAAGGGGAGGGGCGACATAGGGTGGTATGTGAAACAGCGGTCCGCCTTTTATACGTGCATCACAAGGACTGACTCGTGGGACCGGTCCGGGAACCTTGTCGCTGTGTGGCCTTGTATACAGCATGTATACATTCCAGCACCCTCCAATGCTCCGCACCGAGTATCAGATCTGAAAGGTCTCGCCTGTCGCGATCTTTGGACGCGTCTTTGAACACAATTGTTTGACCACCAAGCCTCTCGTTATCAATTAGCACCCTTCACTTTTGTTGTTGATTCCTCCACTGCATCGTCTCTCATTTCTTTGCCCCTACGCCTCCCTCCTCACTTTCGTCCTCTGGAAGCGCTTTCGCATAAAACATCAAGTCTATACGCCTCAGGGCATTATCATTCGCCGACACACAAAGTCACCACCCTTCCTTCTCATCAGTGATCAAGATGTCGTCCAACAGCATCCCAGAAAGCGCTCAGCCTGCAGCCGACAGCAACACTGATCAGCACCGGACCGAGAGCCAGGACCAGAACCAGGGTCAGGGCATGAACCAGAGCGGAGGTCATGCTGGCACATATCGACCTTCTGTGAAAGACATGCAAAACGACTCAATTGCCATCTTGGCAGAGGCGTGGACCAAGAGCGACGCTTCAGCTGATAATTATGATGCTGAGGTCATTGAGCGCGTCTACCGGGAGGAGCTTGTCAAGCATGACTTTAGCATTATAAAACTGACACTGCTTGAAGTCAATCAGTATCTGGAGAAGGTAAGGTGCCTGCACTACCTTCTGTTCTCAAAGCAGGGTGATCTTTGTTAATGAGTTAGTCATTGAACACCTTGAACTCTACCCAATAATTTCAATTAGTACCTCTGGCGCCACTACCAGCCCGACCAGTCTCCAACAATACACGTCCTTTCGATCGTCTTGATGGTGAATGAAAAGTTCAGAAGCAGAGTCGAAGCATGGGGTACGCCGTTTTGACTCATCTGTATTTGAAGATACAACATTTGCGACGATGTGATCCACTCGTAAGATTTAGATCATCAACCTGACCCATTTTTTTTTCCTTAGGCACATTTGAGGAATCACCAGAGAACTTTCCAGCTTTTTTTGAAGAGGTTCTGCGACTTTGCTTACAGGAATCGGAGGAGGTTGACTTAAGAATGAAGCGATATCTCTTGGTGTTCATGATCAACTGCTTCCAGAGTCTGGAGAATGCCCTCATCAGATCAGAATGCATGAGGTAGGAGCCCTTGGACACGGCACATAATTCGACTCTGTAAACGCATTGCAATGCTCACATAACGTCTCTGTTGTCCATTATCTACGTAGGCTAGTCTCGTTGTCAACCTGGCACTCATTGGTGTCTTCCGCAAAAAGAGAAGCAGAGTTCAAGGAATACCCACAACTCTTGAAATTCTGGAAGCATCTCGAGAAGAAGTTCGACGCAATGGGTATGAGATTGATCGAAAAGTTCAAGGAAGCACATCACCATCCTTCTTTTTCGGTTTGTCCAGCAGGCGCTAATAGCGGCAAGTTACTTGCGTCTCAATAGATCCAAAACAGCAGGAAAAGGCGGTCTTCGAGAGGACATGGCTGAGCGAAATGATGAAGCGCTTTGTGGAGATCCTGGAATCTATCGAGGATGATGAACAAGGTAAAAGGTCATGTTCAAGAAGCGCATCAAGGGCAAACATGGGCCGTCTTAAACCTCACCAACTAACACTTGTCGCTCTGAACAATAGACAAGATTGCATACTGTGAAAGATTCATGGAGTTTTTGATCGATTTGGAGGCGCAATTGCCAACGAGGCGCTATTTCAACACGCTAATTGAGGATCACCAGATTGTTGCCATCTGCAAGCTGTCGAAACTCGCCAGCAACAAGAGGGCCGGTGCATTATTCGCCCAGCTTTTGGACATCCTTGCCTTCTATGTCGGGTTCGAGATCAACAGCCATACTGGACTCGCCCTCACCAGGGAGGAGATGACCGAGATTCATGCCTCAAAACTGACAAAACTCCAGGTACGGGACATTGACATGTGTGGACTCAGATATCCAGTTTTATATCTGAACTCGCGGTCTAACCGATTGATGCCTCGAATTTCTTAGCGCATTGCATTCTCGTACTTCAAAGATGAGCTCATCGACCTCGCAATGACCAACCTCAGGGCCATCGAGAACAGAGAATCGCTTACAAAGCAATTTGACAACCTGAACCAGGAGCAGCTCGTGCAACTCTGCCAAATTTTGCACATCAGGACAGCAAGGATCACGAATTCTTCAGCGGAGCATTCACGAGCGATGTTACTGGAGGTTCTGCTTCTTCAGTTCGAGAAACGACATAGTCAGATTGAACAGATCAATGCCTTGCCTCTTTATCCAGACGAGAATGCGCTATTTGAGGACGCTGCCGTGAAGGAGGAGATGTACAATGCGGATCGGCCACTCGCCCTACCAAAGCTCAACCTTCAGTTCTTGACGCTTCATGATTACTTGCTCCGCAACTTCAATCTCTTCAGACTGGAGAGCAACTACGAAATCCGACAGGATATTGAGGATGCCGTTAGGAGACTTGGACCAAGAGCAGGGCCGACCGAAGGCACTACGGTTTTTTCGGGATGGTCTCGAGTCGCTGCGCCGATCAGCTACTTTAAGTAAGCTGCTCCTTCATGTAGTGGACCGCAATTACATATATGGGTTCAAGGGCAGCTGTACTAACTATCTTCGTTCCCTACGTTCATTATCATAGGATGGTCGAGGTAGCGAAGCCCAATCTAGGTGAGGATAAGCCTTCCTTAATCACCGCGGATGTTACGTTCAATGTCAGGAAATACACCGATGCGATTCAGGCAGAATGGGAAGCTATCCGTGAGCACGATATCTTGTTCCTGTTGACGATTGAGGCGCATGAGGACATTGATGAGCAATGGGATGGCAAGGTCTCCTTCCGAAAGCACTATGGTCTCAAATGCGTTCGTGGATGTGAGGTTGTGAGCGTGATTGGACCCAATGGCAGGCCCTTTGACTACAAGAAGAGCGATCCTCAAATGATCCAGGATCATCGCACCGGTAACACAAGGACCTTCCGCGTGGCACTGGACCCTAACCAGTATAAGATTGATCAGGAGAATGTCAAGAAGAATGGTGGGTCCGACGTGTACCAGACATTCAACATTGTTCTGCGCAGGAAACCTCAAGAGAACAACTTCAAACCCGTACTGGAGACAATCCGCGATCTGATGCAGAGCGATCTGATGGTACCGGAGTGGCTCCACGATGTGTTCTTAGGATACGGAAACCCCAACAGCGCACATTACTCGCAGCTGAAGCGACAGATTAGAGAAATCGATTTCAGGGACACATTCTTGGATCTGGATCATCTCAAGGCTTCCTTTCCTGGTATGACCGTCAAGGCAAAGAATGGTGATGAAAGTGCATTGGGTGTACCGTTCGTTGTCAAGTTCCCGGAAGCTGTAGAGGCTGCTACTTCGGGCTCAAAGAAGAAGAAGGGTGGCGAGAAGGGAAAGAAAGAGAAGGCTAACAAGGGTCAGGAAGAGCAGGCGCAGGACGAGCTGATTGTGAGCACATATAGGACTCCCAATATGGGCCCTTACCCTGAGGATATTCCCAACAGAAACCAGGTCCGGTTCACTCCTACGCAGGTGGAGGCGATCAAGGCAGGAACGAACCCAGGATTGACGTTGGTTGTCGGACCTCCTGGAACAGGAAAGACGGATGTCGCGGTCCAGATCATCGCCAACCTCTACAACAATTTCCCGAACCAGCACACGCTTCTCGTCACGCACTCGAACCAAGCCCTGAACCAGCTCTTTGAGAAAATTATCGCCTTGGATGTAGATGAGCGCCACTTATTGCGTTTGGGTCACGGAGAAGAGGAATTGAACACGGAGCTCAGCTTCAGCAAGTATGGTCGTGTCACCTCATTCTTGGAGAAGCGTGTCAATTTATTGGCGGAGGTCGATCGCTTGGCATATTCATTGGAGATTGGAGGCGAGCATGGATCGACATGTGAGACTGCTGGTTACTTCAATTCATACCACGTCATTCCCATGTGGAGAGAGTTTGAACGCCAAGTGAGCAGCAAGGAGGAGAGTGAGCAGAGTATCGAGCTAGTCAAGGAGCTGTTCCCGTTCAAAGTCTACTTCAGCAATGCGCCCTCACCTCTGTTCTCAGATTGCGCCACCTTCGAAGACGCCATGGAGGCTGCGCAGGGCTGCTTCCGTCATCTAGGCAAGCTGTTTGAGCAGCTGGAGGAGGTTTCCGCATTCGAGTTGCTTCGCACAAGCTACGACAGGGCCAATTATTTGCTGACAAAGGAGGCTAAGATCATTGCGATGACATGCACGCATGCTGCGCTCAAGCGCCGCGAGCTCGTGAACCTTGGATTCAAGTACGACAACATCGTGATGGAAGAGGCTGCTCAGATTCTGGAGGTCGAGACGTTTATCCCCATGCTGTTGCAAGAACCCGAAGACGGCGTGAACCGCCTGAAGCGTGTGATCCTAATCGGAGACCATAACCAGCTTCCACCCGTGGTCAAGAATACTTCATTCCAGCAGTACGGCAACATGGAGCAGAGTATGTTTACGCGGTTCGTGCGTTTGGGCGTACCCACGGTCGAGCTGGATGCGCAGGGTCGTGCACGCTCAGATATGGCAGCGCTGTACAAGTGGCGGTACAAAAACTTGGGCGACCTGCCAAACATCACGGAAAGGGAGGAGTTCAGGTTCGCCAACCCTGGATTCTTGTACGACTACCAATTTGTGAACGTGGATAATTTCAAGGGACAGGGTGAGACTGCACCACGGCCTCATTTTATTCAGAATTTGGGAGAGGCTGAGTACGTGGTGGCAGTGTACCAGTACATGCGGTTGCTGGGCTATCCGGCCGAGAAGATCACCATCCTAACGACGTATAATGGACAGAAGGATTTGATCCGCGACGTCCTGAATCAGCGGTGCAGCTGGAACCCAATCTTTGGACGACCTGCATGTGTTGCGACCGTCGACAAGTACCAAGGTCAACAGAACGACTGTGAGTAATACAAGGATGGATATACATTTCATGCTCAAATGGTGGCACATCGAAAGCGGCGTTGGCATGAAACTCATGTCAATTTTTTTTTTTTACTAATCTTTTAGATGTGCTGCTGTCGCTGGTCAGGACAAAAGCCGTAGGACATGTTCGCGATGTACGCCGTCTGATTGTGGCGCTCTCCCGTGCCCGTTTGGGCCTGTACATCTTTGGTCGCCAAAAGCTGTTCCAGAACTGCCACGAGCTCGAGCCGGCGTTTAAAAGACTGCTGGAACGACCCACGAAGCTGTGGCTCAAGACTGGAGAGATGTATCCGAATACCACGCGTTTGATTACTGGCGGTACTGGAGACGAGAAGACAAAGGAGGATGCTGTCGCTAAAGAGGCAGAGGAAGAACAAGCACAGAAGAAGGGCGGCAAAAAGACCAAAAAGGCCAAGAAGAACAAGGCGGAGAAGGAGGAAGCCAAGGAGAAGGAGGCAGCAAAGACCAAGGATTATGAGATTGAAAGTGTCAGTCAGATTGGCGAGTACGTGTTTGGCATGATGAAGGAGCAGCAGCAGTATGCGGTTCAGTTGCAGCAGACGTATATCCAAAGCTTGCAGCCTCCTTCAGAGGAGACCGAGAATATTGCTCCTGCTGGCGATGCTGCCACTGCGGATGTAGAGATGGCAGAGGGTTCTACTGAGCAGGAGAACCCAACCATGGATGTCGACTAACAATAGCCACTTTCACTTTGCTGCATGCAACGCATAATAAAATAAAATAAAATAAAATAAAATAAGAATACCGTGTTTTAATGGTAATTGCGATTGTTCACAATGTTATTTTTAACCCATCAACTGAGCCCTGAGCTGGTTAACTTCTTCCTGAAGCTTCTCGCGACTCTCACGCTCATCCGCAAGCTCCTTCTTGACACGATCGAGTTCCTCGGTCATCCAGCGACGGAGTTTTGCAATCTCAAGCTCCAGCACTGCAGAGTTATTGCCCGAAGCAGGCACGCCCTGGAACTGTCCGAACCGTGAGGTTAAGGATTTGACACCTCCTGCAGGTGGAGGTGCACCCCCCGATCCAGCAGCAGTCGTACTTGCAGGCGCAGAGGATGAGGATTCCAAACTTGAATTGACGGGGCTCTGAGGCGCGTCTGTACGGCGGCCCGTTGGACGCAAGGACACAGAGGCTGGTTGGGCACCGGCGAAGGGTGTAGGGAACTTTTGGAAAATGGGCTTGATGGGCTTGGGGGGTGGTAGTGGGACCGCCTTCTCGACAGCGGGGGGAACATTGGCAGAAGCTGGAGTGGATTCGGGCTTCCTTTCCTCAGGAATAGGTGCCTACCAAATAGAGCGTTTCATTATTAGTCCTCGTTTTTGACCCCAAGAAGAGCATTTTTGCAGAGGTCCATAGTCAGCAATTATTGGGACTTACAGCCTTGACTTCAGCTTCCAGTTGCGATACAAAGCTAGTCTCAGGGTTGGGCAGTGGTGCTGAGGGGGGCTTACGACCCTTGGCAGGTCGAGGTCTTGATGCATGGCTCAGCGCAGGCCCAGAACCCTCCATCTCGGGCAACTTGGGTTTCTCAGGCTCCTTTTCCTCCACGGCAGCAGCAGTCTCCTCATCCGCTTCAGCAGCAGGAGTAGTATCAAGAGTAGTAGCAGTCTCTGGAACATCCTCCTGCTGCTCCTTGTGGGCATGTTCCTCCGTGTCACCCGGAGCAACTACAGTGCCGGGTTCCTCTTGCTCCACTTGAACATCATGCTCTGGCGGCGCAGCTCCCTCATGCTCTGGCGGCGCAGCTTCCTCATGCTCCTGATGCGGCTTCACTTCCTCTACTTCCGGTTCTTTCTCTTTCTCTTCTTCCTTGAGTGTAGTTTCTGGCTCCTGCGCAACAGCCTCCTCAGCCTCGCTCGGAACCGGAGGTAAGTGTGCCGTGGGTGGAAGCACAACCGACCTCCTCTTGTTCTCAGTGATCTGATGGATCGACGGTGGTCTCGCCAACGGTGGCAGCGGACGGTTACGAGACACCGGTGTCGGGAGGATATAAGAGCTACGGTTCGAGTGGTCAGCGGCAATAGCCTCCTGAGAGCCTTCTTGGTCCTGCGGGATGGGGGCGGGGGTGCTAGGGGCTTCATCCGTAATAGGTGGCAAAAATTGTCGGTCAGAGCTGGGAACGGGAGGTAGAGTGTTATGAGGAGGCACCCGAATGTCAGTGTAGGCGGGGATCTCTTGAGAGCCTTGACCCTGTGGGGCGGGAGTGGGGACCTCTTCTGTCTCCTGAGAGTCTTCTTGGTCCTGAGGGATAGAGGCGAGGGCGCTGGGGGCCTCATCCGGCAAAAACTGTCGGTCAGAGTTAGGGAGGTCAGGTGCATTGGCCTGATGGGGAGACACAGGGACCCTGCTGCTGCTAGAGCGGGAGGCCGTCGACATTCTTCTAGGAGGCGATACAGGCAGAGGTGGGCCGCCGTGGACAGGTCCGGCATAGTTAAGCTGGGCTGACGAGGACGTAGGCGAGGCGATCATTGAGGGTGGACGAGAGCTACGAGGGATCGGCGGAGGAGTCGTCAGTGGTGTCTCATTTGTTTTGGCACGGACTGGTTCAGTACGAAGGGGTTCCGTAGGAACGGCCGGAAGTGCTACTGGGGCGTGAACAGGCAAGCGAGGGTGCACTGGCGATTTCGGGGGTTCTTCTGAAGGAACAGCTGCTGCAGCGACAGTGGCAGCAACAGCAGGAGTTGGAAATGAAGACGTTGAGGCGATGGTTGGGGACTGAACTGCATCCTCCTTGATTTCCTGAACAAAGTCTGAGGGAAAGTTGCCGATCTCGCCCTGCTCGTTTTTGCCGGACCACCAGCCCTCGTCACCCATCTTGTCGAGCACGGTTACTGACGATCCTTTCTCCAGCGAGATCTCATCGTCCTCCTGTGCCGTGTATTCGTAGACAACCAGAGCCCTGATATGCTTGGCTATGGATCGAGAAAGAAAAAAAAAAAGAAAAGAAAGGAAAGAAAAGGGCGAAGGGGGAAAGCGTTGGTACTTCTATCTCCTATTACAAGCACTTCAATCGAATAACAACCTAATAAAATATTACAGTACCTTTGGGCTTCTTCGCACGGCTGGGAATACGTGGCTCGGGAGTTGCAGCAACCTCCTCCACAGGGGCTGGTGGAGGGACGGCACGGGCCGGAGCCGGATTGATCAACGGTGCGAGGACCTCTTCTGCGACAGGAGGTGTGAGTTTTGAGGGTGGAGCGCTGCTGACTGCCGGAGAGCGGGGCTCATCCACTGAGCTCCTCTTGGATGCGCTTCCAGTAAGGACTGAGGGGACTACTGAGGCTGCTGGTGCTGGTGCTGGTGCTGCTGAAGGACCAGATGATTCGGCGCCTCCTAGTTTCTTCAGACCACCGGTCTTCTTCAGCCCAGGAATGACGCCTCCTGCGAACAACGAACCGAGTCCTCCTTGCTTGACTCCAAACGCTGCCAACCTGAACTTTGTAGGTTTGTCTTCAGAGCTTTCCTCATCCTTGCTCTCGATGAGTTTGACATACTATCAAATCAAGTGAAAAACGAGAAAAAGCGTCATCATTTTGCTTCGGCTTGAGGAGGGACAAAGTTGCTCAATTGGGCAAATGCTCAACTTACATTGCTGGGGAATGTTCCGACCTTGCCGTTCAAATCGCCTTTCCACCAGGCCGAGTCACTCGATTCAAGAACGGTGACCACACGGCCTGCCTCCAGCGACAGCTCTCCTGGCTCCTTTGCTTCGTAGTCATATTCCACTCTGGCAAGGATAGGTCCTATAATGGGGGTTTTTTTTATTTTTTTATTTCATGTGTGTTCACAAACCGAAAACCAGAGATTAGTACGACGGACTTTGTACCCACACGGTGCATACAAATTACGTTTTTCTATCGTTTACCTTCCTGCTTGTGTTCGGTGGGAGAAACTGGAGCAGGTGCCACGGGGACAGCCGTTTCAGCTGGTTTTTCGTATGGGTTAACAAACTAGTCGAGTTGGTAATAGAGTCATTGAAGTGTGAGGTGGAAGTCCATACAGGTTGCCCTGCTCATATACCCTCTCCTGTTGTTCCTGAAGTTCCTAATGCACGGAAATAACGCCCAAAAAAAAAAAAAAAAAAAAAAAGGTGTGTTTATGAAGTAGGCTTACGTTGGACGGGAACCAGCCAGCCTTGCCGTCCTTGACCCTCTCGCCGACCCACCAGCCTGGGTCAGACATGTCTGAGACAGCGATGAGGTCTCCAACTTCGAGGGTCAGCTCGTCGTCCTTTTCGGCATCGTAGCCGTGGTGCACAATATAGGTCGTTGAAGCTGCAGGTTTCGGTCATTAGACGCAACGACATTGTTCCCGAGGCACACCATGGAAATAGAGCGGTGTAGTATTTCGCGTTAGCTTGCAGTCCAGAGCAAGACATGCAGTGCAAAGACATCCTCGACATGAAGCAAGGTTCTCACAGGGTCATTTCCACGTACCCATGTTGAGGTGTTATTTCCTGGTTTCGATTTTGTCTGTCTCCAAAGCTGTTGTCGCAATGGGGAGGAATGAGTGGTGCGCGTGGGAACGGAGCCGTTGCTGCAGGGGGAGGAGTAGTGTAAGGATTTGAGAATGGGTAAAAAAAAAAAAAAAAAAAAAAAAAAAAAAGATAGATGGAGATGAATGTAGAATGAATGAAGAAATGCTCCTTTTTAATTTTAGCGTGAATGAGAGGGGTGTAGTGACGGGCGTCACGCCTCCCTCCCTCCCTCGTTCAATCGGGCAATGAGCGGAAACGAGCATATCATAGGACGTCGTACCCTTGACGAGAAAGATGTGTGCTTCAGTTGCTATCGTTCCTTCCATAGTGACATGTCCTGATCGCCATTGAACAGAAGGAAGCTTACGTGACATTCTGTTTGCTTCGATTCCCTTAGACGCAGTGGGCTTATCGGCTACCAAAGGGGCCGCATCGTCTTGTGCAGCACCAGCCTGTGGATCTTTATTCACTTTGGAATGCGAAAAGGCGCTCTGCAACGTTTGTGCATGTGTCCATGCAGCGTGTCCCAGAGAGTGCTTCGCGTTCAATTACAGGTTAAGGTTTGCGGTTTATTTCGAGCAAAAACGTGCCAGCTACTCAACTCCCGCAGATCTGTGTCTGCGCGAACGACTGAAGGAGGGGCCAAGGGTTAAGGCGCTGGCTATCTACTCGGCGTGGAGGACACGAAGGGTGTTCGTGTTGCCGAGTCCGCCTTTCCATCCCTGAATCATCACCACCACATCGCCCTTCTTCAACAACCCTTCCTCAATGCCCTTCCTCATCCCGTATTGCAGGCGAGCATCTATTGCGAGAAATAAAATGCACTGAATCAGGACCCGGCAGCTACAGCAAAGAGCAATACCCTGAAAGGGACGAGAAATAAAAATTGCTTACCAACATCTTCCTGCCAATCAGAATGACGCTCGACTTGGTAATGATAGGGATAGCATCCCCGGTGCAAGTGGACTTGCCTTGCCGTCGACCCATATCTCGTTAGGCAAATGATCGGACACTTGGGTCTGTATTTGCTCACCAGGCGCGCTGTCGCTCCGCTGGTCGTCAGAACAATAATCGCACCTGCTTCCTGCTCATGAGCTGCCGACACTGCAGATGAGGCTACGGTCTCTGTGGTCTCGGTTGGTCTGGGAGTCATATCCCTGATTTCATTGAACAACGGCGGATAGCAAATAGCAGACTCGGCCAGCAGACATGTCTCATGCATGGTCCGCACTGCCTCCAGTGGATATGTTCCCTTGGCGGTTTCTCCTGACAGCATAACACAGTCGGCGCCATCCAAGATTGCATTCGCCACATCTGAGACCTCTGCTCGCGTCGGCCGAGGGTTGTACTTTGTAAAGAGGAAAAAGAAGAAAGTGGTTGCACATGAGTTCGCACGGGCTTTTTATATCCGTCTCTTCCTGGAACAACAATTTAGCGGCGAATGTCTCCATGAGGTCTATAGACAATCTCCACGTACTGTCATTGATTCGAGCATCTGCGTGGCGCAGATGACGGGTTTGCCTGCAATGTTGCACTTTGCAATCATCATCTTTTGGGCCAAGAAGACGGTCGAGCATGGGATTTCGATACCTAAATCGCCGCGGGCAACCATGACTCCATCCGTCTCGGATAGAATGTCATCGAAATTTTGGACTCCCTGGACCAAACAGATGAGATGCTTATATAGTTAGACATTCAATTGTCGAATGTGCATTTTTAACCGCGTAAAGGAAAGCGCGAACTCCCGCCCCATAAAAACAGGCGCTGGTTCGTTACCTGATAGTTCTCAATTTTCGAAATAACCTTAATGTGCTTTCCGGCCTCCCCCAAGGCGCGGCGAATCTCTCGGACATCCTCACCGCTCCGAATGAAAGACGCGAAGATCATGTCTACATTCTGCTCCACCCCAAATTTCAGGTCCGCCTTATCCTTTTCCGACAATGCCGGTAGATCTACATCGGTCCTCGGCAGGTTGACACCCTTCTTCGACGACAGCTTGCCATTGTTCAAGGCGATAACCTTCAGATTCTTCTCATCTACAATCTCGAGCACCTTGAAGGACATGACACCATCGTCAATATAGATGACCTTGCCAGGCTCGAGCACTTTGGTAATGTTCTTGTAGTCAATATACAGCACTTGATCTGTACTGGCTTCCGCATATTGTTCGTCTGTCGTGAATGTCATGGTGTGACCCGCAACAAAGGGCACATCCACTCCGTTGGCCATCTGCCCTGTGCGGATCTCGGGACCTTTGGTGTCGAGCGCGATGGCGACGGGTTTGCCAGGGTGCTCGGCACAGCTCTTGCGCGTATTGTCAATGACCGATTTGTGGTATTCGTACGTGCCATGGCTAAAGTTCTATAGCAAACAAGTTTGAAATATAAAAAAACGGCGGCAAGGGTGATACAACAACAAACAGCATCGGTTAATCACTTGTTCTTGACCCGTCTTCTCTACATCAATGTATGGACGTGTTTGCCTTGCTTGATTTGCGTACCATGCGAACGATATTCATGCCTTCGCGCCGCAGCGCCGTGATCATTTCGACCTTGTTTGTGTTTGGACCTTGGCATGAAGGATGAAAGCAGAAATGAAACGATAAGCCTGTGCATACTCCTTCCCCCTTATCTGATGTATGAACCTTTCGAAAGTCTTTACAGCTGTATTACCGATGGTGCAGATAATGGTAGAGCGACGGACCGCAGAGGGCTCGACATCGATCGACAGGGCCGAGACCCACTCGAGGTTGGTTTTGATGGGCTCGCGGGGAGAGTAGGCCATGGTTGATGAGGAATGAGGAGAAGAAAGGATGAGTGAATGAGAGAGAAGAAGAGCGAGTCGAGTCGAGTGGCTGGATGAAGACCACAGGGAAAAGATATGTGGACGATTGATCCGCTCCATCCATCCATCCCCCCCAAAGTTACACCGTCTCTTCTCTGGCTGCGTTGCTTTCACAGACAGTGGGAAAAAAAAAAAAAAAAAAAAAAAAAAAAAAAAAAAACCAGCTGCGCGCTATTTTTCTTTAGTTTCCTGAACTCTGCTCTCAGGGCGAATGAAAAGAAACGGCTGGTGGCCCCTGCATCACACCGCCATCCTCGTCACTTCCCCACAAAAAAAAGAAACAAAAAAACTATAGGGCACAATTCGCATTAACGCGAACGGACCTTCATCTCTCTCTCCTCCAATCCTCTCTTACCCACCAACACACAACCACTCTCATTACTCCCTTCGCTCCAGCTCGGTGAAAACCCGTGGCTTGCACGTTCCTCTTCACGTTTCCTTTCACACCACCCCCCTTTCCTACAAGAACAGAGCGCTTCGCGTCCAACATTGCTATTCGCCCTAACCAAACGCCTTATTTCATACCTGGCTCTACATTGTCCGGCGCAGCATGGATACGCCATTTTTCAAGGATAGAACCTCTCTCATCCTACATGGTCCAGTACATACAGTGGCAGCAATGTCTCTGGTCCAATTACATCAGACAAGAACATTTTCAAGGTCTATAACGGTATGTACCGAGAATGAGCTTGTCAGCGGCACTGCCGTGGAATTCGGGGTCCTTCTTGGCCTTGATGACTTCTTTGAGCTCGTCCGCCGTATCAGTGGGGGTGACATGTATTAGCTAGGAATAGTACAAAGGTCTAGCTTGGTAGGGTACACAGACAGTTGGAAAAAAGCTATTTTTTTAGTTTCTTCTCAGGGCGAATGAAAAGAAATGGCTGGTGGCCCATGCCTCACACTGTCATCCTCGTTACGGTCCTGCTTCCCCGCGAAAAAAGCGTACCTCCTATCCTATGCGCACATCGAAAGATATACAGCAGTCTGTTCGATTGCATCTTCTTTGTCTTTATTCTCCAGTTACTTCTCGCTCGAGCCTCGCGTCTGTAACAACGCTAGTACGATTCCACGTCGAGAATCTCCCGAGCTAGTCCCTCGACAAATGACTGGTCTGTACACTTCATCTCGACCTCCACTGCCTTCGATCCTTCCTCTTCACCCTCCGCCTTTCTGACTTTAATCAGTCCAGCAACCTGATAGCCCTGCCAACTCTGTCCAAAGAAACTTGCTGCTCCCTCCACAACCTCAACCACATGTGTATGTGTCACCTTCTTCGTGATCTTTTCCACCGCATCCCAAAAGGCCTCGTCCTGACCCGTTGTTCCAGCACTTAACTTGACTGTCGCTGACCCTGTTGCCGAGAACGATGTCAATTGTTCCGTCAAAATCTTTGAGAACTCTGCCCCCGTCAGTCGAGGGATCTCCAGCATAAAAGTCGACGGTGGAATGCCAAAGCTGAAGTCAAGCGATTCCTCGTGGCCGTTCACCTCGTAGAACACCGTGCCCATCACCCGGAGCTCATATCGGATACGGCCTAGGATCAAGAGTTCTAAAGAAATATCGGCTTTGCTCTGGGGCTCAATCGAGGACGCAATTGTCACACTGTCTTTGCCTGCATGCGGTTCACTCAGACGAACATCGAACGAGTCTGCAAGCACCAAACGGACAGACGAGACGGATTGTGTCAAGTTGCGATTATGGACTCTGAAGTTGATTGACATCACTGGGTCGCTTGCAGCCTCGCTGCCAGGGGCAGTGGGCGACTCCAAACTGGACTGTGCCAAAGCAATATCATACGTCTAATAGAGAAACCCCCAGTTTAGATGTCAGTCCATTGACCCATATTTGATAATTGACAATGTTGCAATCAAGTAATAAATAGAAACTTACCAAGGCCACGTTCTCGCCCAAGGTTAGCTCCATATTGGATCGCTCAGGGAAATGAACAATTGCGGCCTTGACCGTCTTTTTGGTGCCCGCACTCTTCTCACTCTTCTTGGCCTTCGTTTCGGTCTTAGTGCCGTCCTTCTTGATCTTTGTCTTAACTGGCGCTTCTACATCAGCTTCCGCAGACCCTGGTAGATCGGGGATGGTCACCTTGGCGTTTGCCGGCGTTTCCAACGCAATCAAAGCCTCCTTCTTGGTCGTTGATTTCCTGGAGTTCTTCTTTTTCGTCTCCTTCTCCTCAACCTTAGCTCCATCTTTCTTTGAGGACTTGGACTTCTTGGACTCTTTTTTCTCCTTTTTCTCCTTCTTGGCCTGCAAAGCCTCGAGCCGACGGCGCTGTGCGAGTTCGTCTTCATACTGGCGAACCTCTTCCGGCTTCATGTATGGCTTGGCACGTGGAAGCTGCTCATCTTCACCCACAGGAATCGAGAGGTCCACCGAGTGAAGTGCAGATGCGTCATTATCAAGGATACCCTTTGCACTTGCCTGCGAGTACGCGTTAGTCCCAGCTTTAGTCTTGCTTTCGTCATCACTGGCAGAAAGGGTGGCATCCTCGGGCATCTCCTCCGCCGCAAATACGACTGGAATGGCAGGGGGTGAGCGCGATCTCTCTCTTCTCTTGGATTTTCTCTTCGGTCCTGACTTTGATCTCTTGCCAATGACGATCGGCTTCCCTTCGAACCCATCCATGCTCAGCTGAACAATTGGAATTGCGTCAACATCCAGATCATCCTGCTCCTTCTTGCTGCCCTTTGGCGAAGGATCTCCGCCGATGTAGAAAGGATCGTGCTTTTGGCGTTCTCTTCTCTCAGCTTTGCGCTATTGTTCATTAAAGGAATGTGAAAATCATAAACCACTACAATCACCTTCAGCAGGCCGTCTCACACAACTGTGTCTCATTGTGATCTTTACCTTGGCCTTGGCTTCAGCGCTCTCCTTTGAATCCTCCTGATGGCGACCCTTGCCCTTCTTCTTAGACTTTTCAGCTGCAGCTCCCTCGCCGCTCCAGCCATATCCATATGAAGAGTCCTCATTTAGGAAGTCGTCGTCGCCAGATGATAATGGCTCAGGTTCTGGGATGGGTTCATGGATCCACGACTCCAGATCCAGTCCTTCAGGAACGGGCACTTTCTTCTGAGCTTTGGGTGCCACAGGGTTGAGCTCCTGGTTGAAGAAGAGGGGATAAAGTGAGCTGAGGATGGCTGGGGGCTTTGGCATTGTCGGTGCAAACGAAATCGAGTTCTCAATCTTCAATGGCGCCTTTGGAGCATGCTCGGCGATAATGTCAAGAATGACCGCGACGTTAGATGCCTAGATAGGACATATTGATGATTGATGATTAGGAAAAGTTGCCAATACATCCATAGGTACATAGCAAATCAAAGAGCCGGAAGTGAGTGCTTACTCTCTCCTGAACCTCAAGATCTGGGCTACGACTAAACAATTCCTTAACGCCCTCGCGCAAGAGATCGACCATCTCCACAAGGGACTGTCTAGCCTCCTCATTCCACGAATATTGAAGGTTGTTCATCCAGTGAGCAAAGATCTTGAGAAGACTTTGCAAGTACGTCGCCTGGATCGCAGGATCCAGTTTAGCTGTAGACTTTTGAGAAAGCAGCTCAAGAGCACTCTCAGGAGACTCCAGCAATGCGCAGTATTCGCCCGTCAACCATGCTGCAGCCAAAAGCACCATCGAGTTTGCACTTTCAGGGTTGTCAGGTTCTGTTAGTCGGGTGTCAGCGAGTAAGCGCATCTAGTGCAACATAAATGTGTGCATTAGGAATAACTCTTCAAATACTCCACACAAGATAAATGAGGCGTATTGCCTAATTGCACTCACCATCAACTGTATAGTGTACGTTCTAACGCTCTTGACACGGACTCCGACATCCATGAACTGCTGCATCAGCAGGGTACCAACATTGACGCCAGCGACGTTTGTGAGATCCGATAGAACGGCCAGATACCACTCGAAGTTCGTGACATTGGCATACGAGTTCTGAGAGCAGATGAACACGATCCTGCGAATGATATCGGCGCGGTACACGGGGTCCATCAACGCCGCTGTTGCAGAGCCGTTGTTCATAGAGGAGTGCTCGGTTTCGTTTGCAGGCAGGAGATGTGAGATCAGGCGCTTCACAATCTCTGTCAAGTTCTTCTTACTAGCCATACCAACAATCAGATCCAATGCTCGCATGCGAATAGAAATGTCGGGATCGTCAATGCATTTCAAGATAATATCCTTGTGCTCTCCCACAAGATGAGGGTGTGTTGGAAGGATCTTAGTCAGTGCAAGTAGACCAATGTATTTCACTACAGGTTTGAGATAAGGGCGTGTTAATACAAAATCTCCTCAAATACACAACAAACTCATCCGTGAAGTCCTCTAAAAGCCCACTTACAGTTCTGGTCTGGATCCTCCAAGAATGTGCGAAGTTTGGTGACGCACGTGGCTGCCAGTGTGTTTGCACTCTCGGCATTGCTTCCGGAACCAGTCGTGGCCAACATGCCTCCAGCAATAACCGTATGAATACACTCGTAAAGCAATGACATGGCGGGTGTCGTCTGAATCAGAGTCGTAATTGGTGGCAATAGCTTCTTGGTCAGGCGGGGCTCATATGGCGTCAAAGCAGCAAACTAATTTCACGGACAATTTCGCCAGTTAGCTTCCATTCACGCATTCCATAGTCCCATAATCCCATAATAGATGGGTTGGAGTTGCTGTTTAATCATCTTCACGTACCAGCTTGATAATCTTGATAAGCATCCAGTTGTTGGAAGAGGTGGTCAAGAGCTTGAAAAGTTGTGGTGCAAGGGAGAGATAGTTCTTTGGGTTCCTGCGTGCCAACTCACAAATCACATTGACGGCGGCGGATACAACAGCTATAATAGCAGAAAACGAGAGCTATCAGCAAGGGCTCGCCTCCGCAATTTTCCTGTCATATGAACATGACAGCCGCTCGTTCGGTAACTTACAAGGATCAGGATCCTCCAACCTATCTTTCATGCGGGAGAAACTGAGTCGCAAGCCCTCAGGGTATTTCAGGAACACCTTGTATAGAACGAGGAGGACCTTTTTGCGGACAATGGGTCGAGAATGATTCAACATGGCGACAAGGTCCGCACAGAGATCACGCGCAAGATCTGGCGTGAGGATATGCGAGAGTCCATTGATAGCGACACCGATCTCACTTGCATTTGAAGATGCCAGGTCCTATACGCAACGGTTTCAGCCGCAGAGTGATAGAGAAATATAGCAACACAAAGTTAATGGCCTGAGCCTGGGGCGAGTTTATGAAGCGGCAACGTGGCAACGTGGCACATACCTTTTTGATGAGGTTTGTAGTGAGCATAAGCACGTCCGTTTCTTGATTGAATGACTGAATCGCCCCGAGATATCCAATGCCTTTATACAGGAACTTTGGTGACGACATGACCTCGACAACATGGAACGATGCCCATGACATGTCGTATCCCATCATTTGAAGCTAGAAAGCGAAGAGTAGTGCAGTAAAAAGACCCATTAGTAGCGCATAATGACTTGGACTGCTATCGAAATGGCTGACCGCTGCAACATTATTCACTATGGCGCCGATAGCTGAGTTCTGAGATGCCGCGGAGAGCTGACGACTTACATAGGTCAGCTTGGCAATAGCCTGTGCCTTCAAATCAGCGTCGTTGCGACGCAGCTCCAATCGAATGTCTGCAATCTCCTTGGCGATGTAGCTCTGCTCATTCTTCTTGTTCTGACGGATGCCGCGAATTAGGTCTGTGAGGGTGTGGGCGAACAACCCGTTCATGTTCATGTTCATATTGACCGTGCGCCTCCAGTTGATGAATCTAGTCGATATCTGGGTTGTCCTGTGTCCAGCAGAAGAGCGATGTGCTGATGAAATGCTGCTGTGGTGACTGATGCTCCACTGGCCTCAAGGCTGTCGCGACGTGTGGGAGGTTGGAATGAACAAATAATAAAGGACTGAAAGGACCAAAAAATGACAAGACCAGGTAGTACTGCCATTTGAAATGCGGTTAAGGGTATTCGAGCAACCAGGCTTTATTGCGTATTACTTTGAACGAGTAGGAGCTTTACCCTTGGCCTTGGCCTTTGCGGAACTAGCCTTAGCCTTCATTTTCTTCTGTTTAATGTTCGAGTCTTTCTCGATACTCTCCTCCTCAGCTACCTCCGCCGCTTCATCAACTTCCTCTGGTGCAGGTGTGTCAGCCTCAACCACGTCGAGGTTATCCGGAACCTCTTCATTCATGCCTGCACTGGATGATCCACGTCCCTTGGTTGCAACTGTAGCCTTAAGGAACGGCTGTGGGTGAGTCTCGGAGTTGTACTTGCGCGTGAAGGCAGATTTAGTTGCGGAAGGAATGCTGTCCATTACTTTCTTGCCGTCGTTGCGTCCAATGCCGAGCTCCAGCACAGTATCCCAATCCTCCTTGCTAAGATAGTAGCTGTCCATAAAGCTGATCAAATCTGGGATTGCATCGACTCCATCCTTAACCAAAGGCTTGGTGAGAGCAGGAAACAATGCCGGCAGATAGCTCTGACGGACTTCGTTCTTATCGCCCGAAATCTTGAGACGCATCCTGATCTGAATATCCTTCACCAAGCGGCTGTACTTTGACGATTTTGAGTACTGTCCCAGGTAGCTAATATTGCGAGAGAGAAAGAGTAAAGAAGACCAGCATTCAGTAACCTCAACCGAATTCATTCGCAGCCCGCAAGTACTGGATCTCCCACGTACCTTGGGAACTGCATCATGGGTCCAAAGGCACCTCCAGAGCCAGGCCTCATGCTTCCATGAACATAAAACGACGGACGCACGCATGAAAAGGCGGCGTGGACAGGCATAAGGGACCAATGCTGGGCACTCCTGTTAACAAAAGCACAAATATGATTAGCGAATCTGACATAATGAGACCCAAACGATGCAACAGCAGTAATGGTATGCGAGTGCTGACATACCCGTGAATCATGGTATCCACCAAATCAGCATCAGATAAGGAATCCGCAGCTTTGCTGATCAGCTCAATCGCTTCCAGGCCAGATCGATCACCCTTAGCCTCCGCTGGTTCCATGCGGATATAATTCTCCTGAATCATCAACGGCGCCAACTGGTAATCGTTGAAGTAGGTATCAAACTTGTCCGCAAAGCTTAACGCGCGATAGTTGGTCTCCACCAACAATTGCTCTGCAATCTGGAAGGGGTTGAGGGCGACATATTTCTCAGATGCCTTTGAAAGCGCAGTACCCTCATCATAGTCCATAGTTTGCTTCGTCAGGCTCCATGTTGAAAGCATATTGAGAACTTGTCGAATATCCGATTGTGATCCAGAGACCAGTTTGTCCAACACATTTCCGGGGATGGTTCGGCCTTCTCTGTGAAGAATGGACATCAAACGAGCTCTAACCTGGTTCACCTGCGGCCGCTGGAACCGTAGATCAAAGCATGAGTTCACTAGGGACCGTACTTTCGGAGATTGGCGATCATTGCAGATGCAGATGATTGGAACCTATGCAATACCACAACATAAGGGTTAGGCGCCATAATAGAGCGGACAGAGGTGATACCAGCATCCATCGTTTACTTACATGCGTCCTTTTGATAAAAGAAATCAGCTGTGCAACACCTCCACGGTCGCCTCCGGCCATTCCATCGACCTCGTCCATGACAATCAGCTGCTTCTTCGCCATAGATGGCTCAATATCCAGAGCAGATACTTTCTATACATATCAATGAGCTTGATCCATTAGTGATCTGCTGCTACATGTCTCTTGTAAAGTGACTCAGCACCTTGGGAGATATACAACACCACTTACTCCTTTGCCTTCCGCCTTGGTCTCTCCGTGAAAGTATCCAGCAAGCGATTGATTGTCCAATAAATCGCGCACGTCCTCCTATAAGCCGAAACGTACATTGGTAAGTTTTGACACTTAGAAATCAATGGAAAAGTTGGAGACCAAACGATGTAATATAAAAGACTTACATCGAGGGATTTTTTGCTACGGGTATCACTAGCATTGAATTCCACGATGTTGTATCCAAGACTGTTGCCCACCAGGTGAGCTGCGGATGTCTTTCCTATTCCAGGCGGACCAGAGATGAGAACAGCACGGAAGAGTCCAGATTTGTCAGCGTTGTCCTTCTTGAAGTTGAGCTTGTAATTGGCGTCCCTATTATTTCAGATATTACACGTTAGGAGTCTGCATATCCAAAAAGGCATAGTAACTCAACAAAATGACCACGGGGACGTACCATCCTTCAAGCCATCTCTGCAACTTTTGAATTGCAGCATTATTGCCGCATAGGTCTTTGACCTGCATCGGACGGTACTTGGTGGTCCACAATTCTGACTGAGTAGGTCTAGAGATATTACATAGAAACAAAATTTCATTCAGCATTGTCGAAAAAAAAAAAAAAAAAAAGGTGGAACGGACGAAGCACTTACCTGAGTTCATCCGACGACTCGGCCTTTGACGCGACAGTGACGGAAGACACAGACGACGGTTTAGATGACGCCTTTGATGACTCGGTCGACTCTGATTTCGTTTTAGGAGCCTTGGTGCTCTTGGAGCTAGCCTTTACAACTTCGCCGTCCTCGGTCTTCGCAGGAGAAGTGCGGATCAAATCAAAGAACTCGTCCTCATCCAGTGTCTTAATCTTCAACTTCTTGACCTTGTCCAGCTTCGATTGTCCGGCATCACCACCCACGATTACAAATGATGTCTTTCCACTCGGAGATCCGGTGACCCTTCCTGAATAACGCTTCACTAGATCCATTGCATCTTCTCGGGTGATCGAGCTCAATTCTCCTGTGAAAACAAACGTCCAGCCCTATAATACAATGCCAATCAGTATATCAGCGGAAAAAACCCCTCTTCATTGAAGCTAGCGACGCGAATGCGGCGAAAGAAGATCAAAAAAGATCAAAGAAGATCACGTACTGCCAAACAGTTGTCTTGGCCCTTTGGAATCTCCTTAGTACCGAGAGCAGAGGGGCCGGCCTTATTCTTATGCGCCCAATAACTAGGAAAAAATATCGATGTATTAATTTATGGGCGAATGCAAAAGTATGTGCGCATGAGGTATTGGCCACTCCCAACCATACTTAAACTTTGGCTTTGGTTTCTCTTCCTTGACTTCATCAACATCCATGGCATCATCATCCTCAACCTTCTTTGCTGTAGCCTTGTGCCTCTTGATCGGCTTTACTTCCTGTTCTGCTTCCTTGTAGGCGCCACCATCATCATCATCATCATCATCATCATCATCAGCACCCTTTCGCTTCCTTCCATTCGATGATTTCGAGGAAGCAGCAGTCTTCTTTGGTAAAGAAGTCAGTTTGGTTTCGGGCGTCTTTGCTCTGGCTGGGGCTGACCTTGTCTGTGGCAGAGGAATGGTCTCTGCATCGCTGTTATTCTCGAAGAAGTCGTCCGCATTCGCCTTTTTCGTGCGTTTGGTTGAAGTTGACGCCTTTACTGTGTCCTTTACTGTATCCTTTACTGTTTCCTTTGCTGTTTCCTTTGCTGTTTCCTTTGCTGTTTCCTTTGCTGTTTCCTTTGCTGTTTCCTTTGCTGTGTCCTTTGCTACGTCCTTTGTTATCTTCGCATTCTTCTCGCTCTCCTCTTTTATCCCCTTGGCCGACTTTGATTGCGCAGTAGTTGAGGTTTGAGTGAGCTCGCCAGGCGCTGCTGTCTGATTCTTTTTCGCCTTTGCAGAGGCGAAAAAGGTCTTCGGGTCCACAAGTTCCTCGACAGCTTGCTTCCTAGCAGGTTTGAATCATGGCGGTTGGTGAGAGATCTGTGAATAATCGCTGACGAACGCCTCTGTGACGCAATCGTTGCCATACTTTGCTGGTACTGCAGACGTGGATTTTGCAAAATGCTTCGATTTCCTAGAGTCAATTGGAAAGTGAGACAGTGAACTGGTCTAGTAAGGATATGAAATGACCTTAGGCATTCACGCACTGCACCCGTCACATATCGCCGGCGACATGGAACGTTGGTACTCACACTTCAACATCCTCATCGTCGTCGTCCGACTCTAATCGTCAGTATAGAGGTGATCGAAACAATCGTTATGGATATGTCAAGTGACAAAACAAGAACATTGATGGTGTGTATAATCATACCTGCAATCACGGTCTTCCTTCGCGCGGGTGTTTTTTTCTTTTCAGGCGCCGCTTTGGAGCTCTGTAAAAATTTGGTGGCAAATGTATGCAATACAATCAGTCATGGCACTTTGATCCACAACAACACTGCGTGAACGCGACAGTAAACGCTCCCTCTTTAATACTACAGTTGTAGCCGAGAAGCGCAAAGGCCATAATACACACCTCTTCCGCAGAAGCAGCGCCGGGTTTCGTCTTTGGCTTCACCGTAAAGTAGTTTCTCAAATCCATGTCGAATCTCTGAATTTCAAAGGACGTACTAAAAAAGTCCTGCAGTCGCTGTTCAAGAAAATAAAGTGCTTGTCGAGCGAAGGAGGCGCGTCCAAGTTCTTTGGATTAAACTGAAGGATCGAGGAAAAGAATAATTAAGAGGTTGTAATGCACAGTAAGAGAGCGGAGGAGTGGTGAGAGCACACTGTCAACACGAAGGAGAGGAACGCACACAAACACAACCAAAAATATGAGCGCGTTTCAGGTAGCAGTCACCCATGAAGACCGAGCATGCGACCTTCCGACCGTTGCGACTGTCTACCGAACAAGAAGAGAACGATCGTTCAGCGACTTCTCATCGTCGAATTCATACATTCACATTTACCATAACACTTTCTCACAGAGCCTGTATTGAACTCTGAAGCAAAAACATGAATTTTGTTAACGGCGCCAAAGTTTCGCAGCCAAGAAAACGGGTCCTTATTGGGGCCACTGGAAGCGTTGCGAGCGTGAAAATACCCATCATTGTTAAAACTCTCTTGGAGGTAAGGGATTTTCCGCAGGCAAGATAAGCATTGCAACAAACGCTATCTTCCTGGCAGGGCTTGACCACTCATTTGTATCGACTCATCATTTACAGGAAATGTCGGAGCAAGTGGAGGTCAAGGTGGTGACTACGGATGCTGCGCTCCATTTTTTCGACCGTAAAACCATCCCTGTAGAAGTGCTAGCGGATCGGGACGAATGGAGTGTAGGTACTTGACTGTATATGCGTTTTTTATTGAAGTAATTGGTACCATCGTTCATATGTACCTTTGCTCAATGTCCTTTTAACGACGACATGTACGTCTTGTAGGCTTGGAGCAAGATACCTGATCCCGTAATGCATATCGATGTAGGCACACTTCTACCTCTCGTTTTATGAATCGTGTATTGAAAATACGATGGAGACCACCTCTAACTAGTCTTGCGTTTTTATTGTATCAGCTTCGAAATTGGGCAGATATGATCATTATTTGCCCGTTGGATGCCAATACATTGGCCAAGCTTGCCCAAGGTCTTTGCGACAACCTATTAGTAAGTGATCTTCTTCAAGCAGATGAATTTTACACCACTAAATACCATGTTTTAGCTAATAATACACTCTTTTAGACGTGCATTTTGCGCGCATGGGATGAACGCAAACCGGTGATTGTATGCCCGGCGATGAATACCAACATGTGGAACCACAAGTTCACGGCAATGCACCTTTCTACTCTGACCGATATCCTTGGCTACCAAGTCATCCCTCCCATCAGCAAACTGCTTGCCTGTGGTGACCTAGGTAAGCGATCCTTCTTTGAAGCATGTGTATATTCATGGGCAAAGTACAGCTCAAGATGTTCTGTTTTAACAATTTAGTTTGTCTGGATATCATCACATGTAGGTATTGGTGCTATGGCTGATTACCGGACTATCGTGAATGAGATCAAGAAGCAAGTCAAGCTAATGAGTGTGCCTGAAGAAACGTTATAGTGTGCAGAAAATAAATGCGTTTTTAACGTGTAACCTCAACGCGTTTAGAGTCAATGCTGCGAAGGAGGAAGGTCGAAGCGGTCGGGGATTTTATACAAATGGCTCGTTCCTGGTGCACTGGTCATGATGTAGATGAAAAAATTGTGGGGTAAACTATCTGATCGAGCATTTCTCAGTAGGAACCATCAAAGGTTTAAACGCCGATCGAAGCGCAGCTGGCTAAGGCACCTCGACTGCCCGACTACGAAGATGTTGGGTATAGGCAATAATCGTGGAATGCCATGGTCAAATGATGAAAGCCGTTGAACAATCACTGGTTCACTGGTCAAGGAGCAGCTGAAGAAGCCCTGTGCGACTACACACGGATATTTTCCACGCAGCACATTTTTTTTTTCTGTATGCTAGCACCATCTTTGAACGTCCTTTGAGCCTCTTTTTTTTTTTATTGCTCGCTTTTCCTCTTGACATGTCATTTTTCTGCGCTTGCAGACCGAGTCTCCCACGATGCTCATCCCTACTATTTGAGCAGCACTTGGATGCTTTTAGCGCATCGTGCCACCAAGGGAGATCTCTTTGCCACGGATATCAACTCTTATTGGCTGGCTCTAACATTTTCTTCCCCGGACCAAATGGGAACCTAAAAGCCGAATCTGTTTCCCCAGCTTTTTTTTTTTTTTTTTTTACATTCATTCGATGGCTGATAACCGCCGGCGCGCGGCTTTGATCTCGAGAATGGCACTGATAGTGCTTCAGGACATCCCGTACTAGATATTCCGCGTTATTGACCGTTAACAATACGTCCTCAACAGAGAATGATGCAGCATCAAAGACGTGTATAGTTTGCGGCATCATCCAATGAGTTGCGTTTGAAGATAGTAGCGGCATTGTTCAGGATGAGACCAGCGTTAGCTGAGTCAAGGGATAAGCAACACAGCACAACTCGTTCCTGAATTGGGCAGATTAATATGTGAAGCAGATCGCCGCATTTATTTTCCCACACTCTCCACCTGTGTGTGCATGCCTTCGATCAAGACCTGTTTTGTTTGGATAAATGTGTCTAGTCGTGTGTTTAGATCTTTCGTGTGTGTGGATGGTGCGGAGATGGTTAGAAGAAAACGAGCAAGAAGACGAGCAATAACGTGTTTCTGGGGAGAACAAGACAAGCAGCAGATGCTTCACTGACGCAGTTTCTTTTCCTCTTTTTCTGTCGCGAATTGCTAGCCCAATTGCAGGGGAAAGTGTGGGGGTGGGCATTGTGGAGGGGGATTGAGAGAGGGCAAGGGGTGTGTGTGCGTGTGTGCGGTGGAATGGATCCAGCCGTTGGGGTGGGCTGGCTGCGTTTGTTTGATGGGCGTACCGCAGGGTAAGCCCTGTAAGGAGAGCAAAGGATGATAAAAAGAATAATCTGGCATGACAATCTCCAATCTCCGGATATTCGGATATGGTTACTTTTATAGCCTTGGGAAGTAGAGTACGGAGAGAACATCACATCATCGTATCCAATTCACTTCCAGAGCTCACTACGATTGCGTTTTATTCCAAAGTGTACGTTTTACTACAGATTATGCAGCGTGGATGCGTTTGTATCCAGCCAGCGGAAAAGAGAGCTGCCAATCAGTTGGCCAGATCAGGAGGCCGCTTCGGGAGCAATTGAAGGGATCGAGGAAGGGAAAGGATGAACGTTGAGTACACAAAAGTGGGAAAAAGGGCCAAAGTGTCGCATATATAAGGTACCATCGCTCGCTACCCCAACCCGCCTCTTCCTCCTTGCTTCCTCTTTCCCTTTCTCTCTTTCCCTTCTCCGCTCCTCTTCTTCTATCCAGCGCTTCCGCCTTCTTTTCATCTGTCGACACACCAACACTTCTTCAACATGACTGCCAACAAAATCAACGGTACGTGAAGCTTGCCACCAATGTCCACCCATCATGCTTCCAAGTCGCTTTCATGAGCAATGGACGTCTCTACTTGCTATCTTGTTATCCTGTTACGTTGCTATACTTAATATCCTATTCTTGTCGTCCATGTTCATTCTTCTAGGAGGAACCGTCGTCGAGATGCAGGTATTGCCAGCAATCATTCTCTGCCGGACCATCGAATACAACGTCCAAGCACGGAGGCAACTTTGCTAACACAGGTCGATTCCTGTTTTTTTGTCATGTCATCGTTTTTTAGGGTGATGAGATGACCCGCATCATCTGGGATGGCATTCGCGACAAGGTAAAAAACAGATTATTAACGTTCAGCGCCATCATACTCGGAGTGGGGAATACACGTTATTAGTTTTGGGGCATAAGAAAAAAAAAAGGTGGTAGCGGTAGTGTGTTCTGCCATGAAGAATGTTATGGCAACAACGGCACGGCGATAAAGGAGTTTGAGAACCATGCATTGCACTGCGGCATATCCCGTGGCGGTGCCACCAAAAATTTGCAGCTGAAGCACGAGATGTGAGCAGCACCGTGGGAGAGGTGGCGATGGACACGAAGACTGCGCCTGAATTCTCATCGCCGGTATTATTTTTACATTTGTATTGCACTATAGTTGATTCTTCCCTATGTCGATCTCGATATCAAGTACTTTGACCTCGGCATGGAGTACCGTGATCAGACTGATGACCAAGGTAAAGAGCGTGCATTGCTTCTTCATGTATACGTATATATCTACCCAACAAATGGAGTACAATTGCGGGGGAGCGGATAATGCTGCATTCGTGGATCGACCGCAACGCCGTTTGTCCCACATGTCAGCGCGGGTTGTGATCTGCCGTTATCCGGCAAAGAGCTCTATTTCTATTTTTTGGACATTGCCTCATTTTATTCTGGTGATCTCAGGAGTGCGTCTTTTTTCGCGACTACAATTCGGGCTGCTGGAATAGAGAGCTTAGAAATCACTTATTACGTTTGCAGGGATTTCCCCCCAACGGGGAACACGACATCAACTTCGATCTGATTTTCTTCATATCTTTTTGCTCTCAACCAGTCACGATCGATGCTGCTGAGGCTATCAAGAAGTACAAGGTCGGCATCAAGTGTGCCACCATCACCCCCGACGAGGCTCGTGTCGAGGAGTTCAAGTTGAAGAAGATGTGGAAGTCCCCCAACGTAAGTCTATCTGTCCTGCAGGAATCGTTATTGATGATGAGATCAATCGATAGCATCGTTATCAGATTCTTCGCTGGCTGTCTTTGACAGTCTCCATAAAATTCCAATCTGATAGGGAACCATCCGCAACATTTTGGGAGGTACTGTTTTCCGTGAGCCCATTCTCTGCAAGAACATCCCCAGATTGGTCCCTGGCTGGACCCAGCCCATTATTCTAGGACGTCACGCCTTTGGCGACCAGTACAAGGCCACCGATCTTGTTGTCGATGGCCCTGGCCGCTTGGAATTGGTGTTCACCCCTGCTGATGGATCGGAGAAGAAGAATATGGTCGTCTACGACTTTGAGGGACCCGGCGTTGCCATGGGCATGTATAACCACGATGAGGTACAGTAAAACTCAATGCACTGGGCGACTGCGATCTTCTGCGCGCCTGCCAGCACCAGATGCCCAAGAGACGATATGAATAGTTAGTAATCATACTTGTTTTCTTTACATTGTTTTTGTCGTCTCCAGTCGATCACTGGATTCGCTCACTCCTGCTTCAAGGTCGCTCTTGAAAAGTCATATCCTCTCTACTTGTCAACCAAGAACACCATTTTGAAGAAGTACGATGGACGCTTCAAGGATATCTTCGAGGAGATCTATGAGCGCGACTACAAGGAGCAGTTCGAGGCCAAGAAGATCTGGTACGAGCACCGCCTCATCGACGACATGGTCGCGCAGATGCTCAAGTCATCTGGAGGATTCGTCTGGGCCTGCAAGAACTATGACGGTGATGTTCAGTCAGATATTGTTGCCCAGGGTTATGGATCTCTCGGCTTGATGACCTCGGTCCTTCTGACTCCTGATGGCCAGTGCTGCGAGGCTGAGGCCGCCCACGGCACAGTCACCCGTCACTACCGCGAGCACCAGAAGGGTCGCGAGACCTCAACCAACCCCATTGCCTCCATCTTTGCCTGGACCCGTGGTCTCGAGTTCCGTGCCAAGATCGACAACAACGAGGCCTTGAAGGAATTCGCCCAGCAGCTCGAGACTGTCTGCATTGACACCATTGAGGCTGGAGACATGACCAAGGACTTGGCCTTGATTATCCACGGCAAGGGCATGAAGCGTGAGCACTACCTCAACACTTTTGAGTTCTTGGATCGTCTTGCTGAGAACTTGCAGAAAAAGCGAAGCGCGTAAAATGGAGAATGTCGGCACTTTTGATATCATTGTACACACCCTTGTTTCAACAATAAAAAAAAGAAAAAAAATAGCTATATGAAAGGGTCCAAAGATGGCTAATATGTATGTACAAACATTTATAAACATTTTAAAGTCTAGATGTAACGATGGAATGCTAGCATGGATGGTCTGGGACATGGTTCTATAAGCAATGGTATTAGCTAAATAAGGAGGAGCAGGTAGCCAATACCAACTAGCGGTCCTCCTCAAGTGCTTCTGGGCCCGGTGCCGGTGCTGGTGCTGCCTGCGATTTTGGAACGAAGCCAGTGTGGGCTTTGAAACCCATGGGGGGTCCTGTCTCGCAGAGTTTGTTGATATGTTTGGGGATGCCCATCGCGCGCAGCTCGTCCGGTAGCTCGATGAACTGCATGACCAAGCCTGTCGTGACATGCCATTCAATATGGCAGTGCAATGCCCACACTCCAGGGTTATCAGCCTTGAATCGAATCACCGTGTATCCGTATCGGGGCACCGTCGCCGTATCTCGGCGTAGTGGATTGACCGCATTGATAGGCGTCTTGCCCTCCTCGTACATACCCTTCCCCTGCGCGATGACCTGGAAGGTATGTCCGTGCAGGTGGAACGGATGTTCGTCACCCAGCGAGTTGTCCAGAATGATCTGCACGATGGCATTACGCCTCTCGATCTTCATAACATGCTGGTTCACTTCGTAGACGACCGAGGTGTTGAGGTTTTGCACAATAGTCGGGTTCCATGCGTTGCCGGCATAGGTGATATCGTTCATGTATCCACGCACAATGTTGTCCTCTTGATTCTTCTTGAACGAGATCCTGATCAGGAAGCTGTTCGTAATCGGTTCCAGTACAGGCTGAGACTTCAATGGGTGGAGCATATTGAGGTCGAGATCCTCACATGCCTCCGCAAACGCAGGATTGACCTGGGGTAGTTGACCCTTTTGCGCGGGCGCGGGAACAAAGCGCCCTACTGAGGTCGGTGTTGTGGCGCCTGCGCCTTGATACCGGATTTCTCCCAGGATGACGGGGTCCAAATTCGTCGTGGTGTTGGGTAAACACGCTGTGCCCATCTCGGCCCTCATCCAGTAGTTTTGTACGTCCTGGTTTGCTGTGACAATGACAGAATAGCGCTGTCCAGTGTTGATCGGTAGACTTTCGACCATAATTGGGTTCAGGTCCGTCCCGTCGGCCTCAATCACTTGCAGCTGGTGGTTGTCAATCGAGAACAGGAATGGCGCAGCAGCACTAGGATGTCAACCAATAGGCTAGTTAGGTCAACGAATGCTTTTCTCGCATCGATAAATGATTGCTGAAACAGAGCAAAACAGACATACCCACTATTGATGATTCGCAGCCGATACCGTCTGTTTGGGACGAAGTGAATAACGGCCCGCTCGCCCTGCACGCACGGCAGGTCTCCTTGGACATTGGAGCAATTGAAGGTGCCTCTGCCGTTAATCAGGCCGTTGTTCGGCACCGGTTCCCTGCCATGACTATCCGGCGAGAGATAATGCGCGAGGAGTGCGCCTGTGGGTTGGTGATACCAGTCCGAGAGGATCACTGTCCGCTCCTCATCGTAGGCGTGCAGAAATGGGTTTGTCTCTGGTGGGTCTCGGATGATGATGGCGCCCACTAGGCCGTCGATATATTGGTTTTCGAAATGGGCGTGCCACCAATGTCTATTATTAGAAGAAAATGGAAAAAAGATGCAGAGTGGCATACGATGATTAATCCCACGGTTCCCGTTCATAAGTGGGCGCCAATGTACGCCCTGCTGTTTTCTTTAGCTACAATGCCCATGGTGCATGGTGTTTGGCGCACTGACATGGCCAAGGCTGCGGATGGACAAAGTAGTCGACAAAAATCAACACTCAGCAACCCAGCAACCCATGCCATTAAGAAGTGAATGGAAGGAACAGAGTGGAGAAGACCACAAAGAAGGGGTGCGCAATTGATACATACGTTCCAACAACATTGTCTGTGCCAAACGCATATGTGAAGTTGGTGCCAGGGGGGATAGGACATTGGTTCATGCCAGGCACACCATCGTACCAGGGGTCGCCCTTCATGGTCATGCCATGCCAATGGAAGGATGTCGGGACATCGAGTGCGTTCTCGACCACGACTGTAATCTCATCACCCCGGTTGACCTCAATCTTTGGGCCCGGGTATTTGTCGTTGACGAGGATGACAGGGCGGGTGACCCCATCGGGCGCTAGGGTTGTGCTGGTGACCTTCCAGAAGAAGATGCGGTTCCTGGGTGTAGTCGTGAACTCTGGTGGTGCTGCTTGGGTAAATATTGACGAGGTTGAGGGGGACAGGAGGGGTGTGAGGGACCAGAACAGGGCAGTGGCTATGCTGCTCCGGATGAGCCACGAGGAACGAATGCTCTTCATGGCTGGCTGGCTGTGTGATGGAGGAAGGATACCAGCTGCCGAGGATGTCTGAGGATGTAGGAGAGTGGGTTCGTTAGTCGTAGGAGAGTATATAGAGGGTATATAGATGGAGTGGTTGGTTTCTTACAAAGAAAGAGGAAGGGACTGGGGCCGGTGAGGCTCAAAAGGATGAAGGGGTCAGCCACCGCCTTCCTTCCTCACACCAGCCGCCGGGGCCATTCCAATGTTAGCCCAAAAGAGCGGGCCGAACATTCTCGCTATGTCTATTTTGCTAGATCAACCCCGGCTAGCCAAAAACTTTATTAGATATCCAAACCTCCGTATATGAGAGCCGAGTCTGCAATTAGAGTATTATTTTTTTTGACTGGGGTGTAAAGCGCGTTTTATTGCGCACACGTAGATCTCGGCGCGTCGTCATGATCGCACTGGAGCTCCGTCTTGGGTTGAGCCTGTGTACTGGGCTATATGCTGATGACCGAGCGGCCCTGAGTCTGAATCCTCTAGGGGTATTCGGGATCCGTCGATGCAGCATACCAGCATCCTCTCCTCGGTGGCCTATACGCACGGCTGTATTTGCAGCAGTAGAATGTCGGAGATCAATGCCATCCTTCATCAACGCGAATAATTGTTTCGGCAGGTTTCCATACTCCCGAGACGGCTCGATTTGACTGGTCCCCCTTTCTTGCCCTTCGATCTGAAAAAGGCCCTCAAATGTTTTCGAGTACGAGAACTGAGTCTACATGCTGCTGTTAAGTACTCCTGAATCCCTCGAACTGCTGGGTCAGTCTGATTCCGTAAAGGTTGGAGCACTCGACAAGTCGAAGGCTTGCCTCTAGGTTGCTGATGCTTGCCACGCCCTCTACAACCCTGCGTGTCGTTGGCTGCTCCAGATATAACGTTCTTTAGGCAACGATAGGTTGTATGACCTTTTATGTATCGAACGAATCTACGACTACTCTTTATATCTGGGTTAATGGCAAGCACCACGTATCTCTCTTGATCCTTTATTTCCTCTTGCTGCGCCTCTGGACCCGGGCTCAAGTGCATCATCTCGGACTTTGTAGAATTGGCCGAGATCTCGGTGCGCGTGCAATATGCCGCTGATCGTCCCTGTCGCTTTTAGCGACTTTGTGAGGCACGAGGTGCTGCTGTCCTTCTCCTCGTCCTCGTTCTCGCCCTTCTTCTTACGTTGAGTCAGACTGCTAGTCGTAGATATTGACCTGATGTACATCGGTTTGCAGAGTGTCAAAGAACAAGTACTTCCCCGCATGAGTAGCGCTGTCCATAGCCAGGGTACCCTCCTTGATTGCTGACTTAACATATTCTTTGGCCTTTTTGTACTATGGTGTGAACGAAGACTGAGTCGTGAGTGCGTCGAGCTGACCTTGGCAAGGTAAAGAGTCCAGATCGAGTAAACGCAGCAAGAACATACTGTCGGGAAATGCCACACAAACGTGCCGATCGTAATCGGCTTTATTGTCATAGAAAAGCAACCTCTTCGGCTCCTCCGCATGCTCTGATCAGCTTGCTGACTTCCTTGTGTGATCCTCTGGTCCTCAAAACAGCTGTCTTTCACTGACCAAGCAGGAGTTGGCCTTGTAGGCTGGTATCGGAGGGTGCGTGAAGCGGTTCGAGGACCCAGGATACGGACACCGAGCCATGGACTGTTGACTTGGCATGTTCGTCGATCGTGCTCAATGGAGCCACTCTTTTCTGGATCACTGTCCATTCTGAATTCCAGATGTTGACTTGTGCTAAGACAAAGTGTATCAAAACAAAGAGTATTAGTAGTGATAAACGAAAGACTCTCAGGTTGCGTGGCAAAATCGTAATAGAAGACGGGGACATAGACAAAGCACCTACCCTTTTCGCCAACTCTGAAACAAATGCCCGAAGATGGCATCTGATCAAACCCCTCAAAGTTCGCCCAGCTTATTCCAGAAACTGAGATGGGGCTGTGTTGTCGACGTACCCCTTCACTCTCCGAATGATGGTGGCCTTGTTCCTGAGCATCATTTTATGAGATTCGAGTCTCGTTAACACCGAACAAAAACTGCAGCCGCTGCTCTTGAGTCTGACGTCCCAGTGATACATCTTCTAATATATTTCGCGTCTGGGTGGATTTGTGGATGCTCTGCCATGGCCTCGCTGCTATAGTTCACGTTGCCAGGGTTCGCATTTGATCAAGTCCGTGTTGAGTTGACGAGGCTGAATCGTTGATTCGATGTGTTGATTCGCTTCATAATATTCGCAAACGTCGTAGTCCTGCTCCAGTTCGAACTGAAGGTGGCGGCCATCGCCTCAATGTTCATCCTTAATGTTGCGAAATTGCCGTTTATTACGTTCTAGATCATGTTTCCAACGTTTCGACTTCATCCTTTTTTAGATGTTTCTAGGTCCATGTCCTCCCGCTGCCGAACCCTTCTTGTAGAAAGATTGCGCACGATTCTTTTCTTTTCGGAGTTTCTTGGCCTTGACCTGATTTTTGTTCTTGTTAATGCCCCTGCATTGCCATTATCCTTGAAACCGACTCTTCTCTCCTTGCTCATACTGAGGTTTAATACCATTATATTGTTCTAGTCGGTGCTGAAGACAAGTTTAATGAACTCCTTTGTCTCATAATTATTGCCAGACGTGCGGTAACTACAATGCAGCTCAGCCTCCCAGTTTCAAAATCATTAACGTTAACCTAAAACGCGAGAAAGAGAATAAAAAGAAAAGACACGTAGAGGACACTCCTTGGTCTTATTCTTGCATAAGTCGCTCTGGTTTCCTTGTTGGTCGTTGATTTCTCAATGTTCATGCTATCCTCGCTGGTTATGTATCCATGCTAAATGTATTCGCCTTGCTCCTCTTGCTGGCGACCTCAAATATAATACAAGAAGAAGAACAGAATCAGCGCGATGAACAATGAAAAGAAGTAGGAGTATATCAAGCCATCGCGCATGCTCTGCAACAAAAGGTATTTGCTTTTGGAGGTATGTGGTGACGCTGTCCACGGTCTCCTTTATTTCTGCGCCAATAACCTCATTGCTCTTGAGCACCTCATCGGAGGTCTCAGCCATGACTTGAACATGTCCCTACTTAGTCTTATCTTGCTGCAAACTGATCTAAGGCACCCTGCTGGTCGTCTGAATCACATCCGTGCAGTACATGGCTCCTCTAGTGGTTTTTTCGTGACTTTCGGCTTCTAAATCACGTTTCCCGCCCATGCTAGCGGCATCTTCACCCCATGAAAGAGCACATCAAAGTCAACCAAAACAAGTACAACCTGACCAGGATATTGCTTCGCCTTGCGGCAAATACAAAGGCCCATCCCTCCAACGCAGCGGTACTGGCCCAGCTCCTTCAACACAGCAATGAGGTCGCTCTTTATAGCCAAATCGATCGTTTTTACGATGGCCCAGCTTCGTCTTTATTTCTAGATTGGCTCAACAAGCTTGCACATGCGTGTCCTTGAGAATTAATTGCTGTCATCAGAGTTTGCAATCTTCTGTCCCTTTTTAGCCTGATTACTCATGGCTCCCACATCCCTGCCACTGCAAATCCCTCGCTTTTCCCTGCACTCGTCTTCCGCTTCCATCTGCGGAGCCATAAAAAAAGCAAGAAGCAAAAACGACAAGACCAAACCAGAGCAGATATTCCGATGTGCTACTGCGGTTGTTGTTGGTGCAAGTGCATCCGCACATCCACAAAAATGCTGCAACCTATACTTCCATTTACACTCATCTACATCGCCTTCATTGGCACAGTGTACTTTCAGTATTTTCAATACAGCGCGAGCATGGCATCGCTTGCACAGACAATTTTAAAATGAATAATAGCTGTTACTTTAATTCATTTCGTTTTCTTTACCTCTATTTTACTCTTCTTCTATTCTATTATATTTACAGGAGGAAAGAAAGAAATAAAAATAAAATAAAAAAATAAAAAAATAAAAAAATAAAAAAATAAAAAAATAAAAAAATAAAAAAAATAAAAAATAAAAAACAAAAAACAAAAAGAAAAAGAAAATGAGGAAAGGGAAGGAGGAAGGAAAAGGAAAGAAAAGTCGACTTGCCATCGGCCGGCCTTACTCAGAAGAGTAAAGACCGTGCAGGGCACACCTCGAGCAGGTTGCAAGCCATGGTGCCCCAAAAAACCACGAATATGGGAAAAAAAGAGTGGATCTCACGCAGCAACTCACCAACCCCCACTGACCCATCTTTTTTTATTAGTCCTCGAACCCCTTGTGCAACCCCCAATCGCGCAGAACAATGCCCTGATCATCACCGGCACTAGACCTACCAGGGTGTCCTTGGCAACACGAAACCGTCCCGTCAAGCGCAGAGCAGACCACATGGGTCATGACAACAAAAAATGGCCAAAAGTGTTGTGCTCATTGCCGTTCAGGATGGAACTGTTGGTCAAAAAAACGCAAAGAGGGGGGCCCGCTCTTCGCCGCCCACTGCTAGCCCTAGGCCTCAGAAATGGGGCCGCTCATCTTTGATTTTTTGTTTTTCGATTTCATTTTCATAGTTTTTTCGTGTTCTTCGTCCCGGTGATGAACAAAAAAAACTAGAAACGAATACGGAAAAAAAAATACGGGGGAAAAAAAAAACGAACAAAACAGAAAAAACAGGGAACCCCGCTGTGTGCTCGTACGGTTGGCTTTGCGGTGTACAAAGTCCAAGAAAGCTCTAGGAACGATGGGGAGAAAGGGGAAGGAGAGCGACAGAGAGAGAGAGAGCAGTGGAGAAGTGAGCGACGATATTAGAGTGGAGGTGCAAATAGTGGAGGCTCGAAGAGTGCAGGTGCAAAGAATGGAGGCTCGAAGAGTGCAAGTGCAAAGAGTGGAGGCTCAAAGAGTGCAGGTGCAAAGAGTGGAGACTCAAAGAGTGCAGGTGCAAAGAATGGAGGCTCGAAGAGTGCAAGTGCAAAGAGTGGAGGCTCAAAGAGTGCAGGTGCAAAGAGTGGAGACTCAAAGAGTGCAGGTGTAAAGAGTGGAGGCTCAAAGAGTGCAGGTGCAAAAAGTGGGAGCACATAGTGTGGAGCTGTGAAGAGAGGAGTGGAGAGAGTGCAGCTGGATGTTAGTACTTACCTTGACGTTGAAGCAGTGACAAGGAGAAAAGAAGAGAGAAGAAAAGAAAAGAGTGAGGTACAACGGCCGGTTTATGTACTGCCAGCGCCACCATCAGTTGGAGCCATTTACGGACGAGTGCATTACGACCACTCCATCCACATAGTGAAATTCGCCCACCAGAACAGGCACTCGCGCAGATACTCCTGCGGAGGCGCATGCAGAGACACACTCAACACCGATAGCAGCATCGATCGCAGCAACGCTAGTGGGCGATGCTGCTTTCATAACGAGACAAGAATAAGCAATAGTAACAGCAGGGAAGAAGAACGAGGAAAAAGAACGCAGACACGCACAGTGGAGACAATTGTGCTCTCTCGCAGCAGCATGCTTGTAGGCAGTGGCTGCTGGAGACGCCTCAAAGCGATCCTGATCTGCTCGGACCAAACTATCCAGTTCGGAGCACACCTTGCTGAATGGACCCCTTCAATAACTGATTTAAGATCTATAGTTTAATGCTCCTGTGCCTGGATCAAATAAAGGAATATCACCCACTGCAGCCGCTAGCGGGTGACAGACTGGCACAAGCCCTGTAATGCACATCAACAAATGCGCCAAAAGAAAATGCTACAAGTAACAGCACCCGTGGGGACCTTATAGAGCCGCACCGTTGATATCCTGCAGCCTATTCTGCAGTGCAGCCTTGTGTAATAATAAAAAAATAAACCACCGATTTTTTCAGGATCAGAGTCATCAGCAATGAGGATCGCGGCAGTTGGCAATGAGAAACAGCAGCCCTGCCTCTTCATGCTAACGCAGACCAGGGTGTCCTGTGGAGAGCAAGAAATGGGACTCATCGCCGTCTTTGGCCTTCCTGGTCACTATGGCCTGGCCAGGGTGGTCTAAACCTTGACTGCCTGTGCGCTCCACGCGTATGTGGCCCATGCATTTGATTCTCGATGTAATTGGAGCTCTCTTTTGTTTACAGCCTAAATTTGTGGCCCAAGCACTGCACTCCTAAAGAGGCTGTGGATTTGGCTACTGCAGCGACCATCATTAGGCCACGCTCCTGCTGATACTGCCTCACCTCATTCACTCTTCCGACATAGTAGCGGTGTTCTGGGGTTCATCCATCCTGAAACACTCCATTGAGGTGCTGAAGCGATTGAGAATTGGTCCCATGTTCGAACACTGGTTGCGCTGCGAATGCTGCTCTGACGAACTGAACGTGGCGCATTAGACAAGAGTAGTGCTTCCTCGACGGGAAAAGCATTGGCATCGACGATATCTTCTTTAGGCGGACATTCTACTTCACTGGTGGCCCCTGGTCGCCTGCTTCCGTAAATGCGCTGTTGCTGGCGTCGTTTCTAAACTCAGTGATCAGTTGGTAGAGCTCTGCTTTCTTTGTCTTCTACTGCTGAAAATTACCCTATTCTAACCATCTTGCCATCACGCAGCATTAGAATCGTAGACAATTGTGCCAGCTCCTCCATCCGGTATGTAGCAAAAAATCTTCGCCTTGCCTGTCAGTAGTTTCCTGGACACAGTGCCTCTCCATTTCGACTCGTAGGGCTATTTGGCGTAGCGAAATCGAGATAGTCCCACAACTACAGCAACCGTGACCAATGCAGAAAAAGGATAGAGATGCCTCATCTTCCCCCAGTAATAACGCAAATGATTATACATTTGAGATTGATGGTATCCATAGTATGATTAGAGTCGGAAACAGAAAGCTGTTTACAGAACTACAGGTCCTTAT